TACTTAAACAAAGAATGAAGTTGTTAAATCGTAGAAAATCAAGTTAGAAATACTAAAGACTTTCTAGTGTGTGCAGTTTTGTGATACAAAGTAAGTAAAAATGTGGGTTATCCATAATGAGAAAAAAATGCCCATTGTTGCAAGGATGTGTCAAAACACGGAACAAGAAGCTCCAAGGAAATTCCTTCGGCCATTGTGGTGCGTCGCCACCAACATAAACGCTGCTAAAATTGCCTTATTAGCTCACGCTGCAGCAAAGTTGGTGGTAACCAATTGTTGCTTCCAGGTCTGCAGTATAGCCTCGGGATAGGTTCGCGACCATCATTTGTTATAGGCACTATCATTAAACTGCTTTCTCGGTATACCGATTAAACGATTTGTTCCAGCTTCTGTTTTCAGGTGTTTTTTACCATCGATTCTTCCAGATAATGATATTGTGGGCAACTCTCTTTTGTGTTAATATTGTAATCGGAAAGCCTTGAACTTTTCTGTTCGTTATAAGAAATAATAAATGATCGAATATATCAAATATGTCGAATTGCAACCGCTCGCGCATTTAATTGAAGTAAGGCAAGTTGGGCTTGTCTGTCGTAACTTATCAGTTTTTTCTCATAGTCTTCAAAGGAACGTATAAATACGAAGCCGACCATTTAATGTTGCATTTCCTGCATTGCTACTTTCGTTATGATTATTTATGACACGTTATATGATTCTAATTTAGAGGCGGGACGGCAGTAGCCGTGTGAGCTCCAGATACGGTTTTCATTCTGTCCCACACCTTAATAGAGTAACCAGCAACAAGAACGTGTTCTATGCAAATGCATTTCTAGCGTGCGTTTGAATATGTATACCGTGCACACATGAGACGTGCACGATCCGATAATAATTAATTCAAATTACTTGCGCCGGAATGAATCACAACTTGATTTTTAATTAATGCTGATTTGAAGCATCAACGCCTTTTAAAGACGAACCAGACTCTAATTATCGCTTCTTCCCAATGCTCAGCGAGGAACGGGTTAAACGCAGTCTACAAATAATAATTACCACTATAATAGGAAACTTCCATCGATTCGTGAAATAAATAAATAGACCTTGTTATTGTCAATTATTCACTCTATTGACTTAATTTCTTTGTCTCGCTGGCTTTAGATTCATAGTAGTTCGTTCTGTGCGATGAATTGATTGAAGTTCATGAATTCGTGACGAGAGTAATAAATTAAGTGCTTTGTTTTAACATTTAGCGCAAATCGCTTTGACATTTATCATCTCAGATTCTGAAAGTACAAGAGAAGAACTCATTTTTTAAGCAGTAAAGGTGACGTCTGCTTATACAACGCAAAGTTTTTTCAACCAGCAATGTTGGAAATGTTGAACCTATTGTTGGATATTAAATACATTTGGCAGCAATAAGCAAAATTAATGAACACAGTCTAAGTAGGTACCTTCAAATACAATTCTGGTTTACGTGGGGGCACATAACTGTACCACGCGTAAGTAAACTGTGTTGATAAAATATGCGTCTTCTTATTTGTCAGGTTGTCCCAAACAAACAAAAATTTTGCAACCTACTGAAGCTGAAATAGTCAGTCTCAATCTTACCAAAGTATTCCTAGGGTTTAACACACACAGTAGTAAAATCAGTTTCACATTTAAATTTCCTTCAAGGTGTCGGTGAAGTTTAAACGCACCTACCTATACTAAAAATTTGATATTGACAAATGTCAATCTTGGCAGGTGTTTCGTCAGATTTCTCATTTTGCCCAGACTCGGATGATTAAATTCTACATTTGCGTCAAGCATTTGTTCACGGACATTGTGGATGGAAATTGTTTGTGACTGTCGGTAGTACTGAAGAGCCAATTTTCTCAGTACTGCCAGTTGCACCCTCCGAGGAATAACGTTTTCGTTTCACAGTGTTTCACATATTATAGTGAAGGACGATGTATAAATGGAACGGAACATGAAACATGTTTCTTCGTTCCGTTTAAATAAACTTTTAGATTGAGGCTTGAGCTTGAGAATTTGATTTGGTGAATTTCATATTATTATTATTGTCAGTTGGTCAACAGGTTTAAAGCCATTATAGATCAACAAAAAAGAAATTAATAGTGTGGATGAAGGCAAAAAGAGTACTTCTGCTAAATATTACTGCCAAAATCATATTTGAAAAATTCAATATTATTAACAAGTGATTTAATGAAATGTAACTATGGATACTACTAATATGTACATCTAATGACAATGAGATTTTTTAGGTTAAATGAGTTGTCAATTTGGATTCATATTATTATTACTTTTACGTAAAAGCTGCTACTGTTTTTCTCCCATTGAAGATAGTCATCTGGTGATATTATTTAATCGCATATTTTTAGATCATTTGCGTATAACAAATGAGGAATATCTAATCTGGAGCATAAGTCGTTAATATAAACCAAAAAGAATAAAGCTCCCACAACGAAACCTTGTGGAAACCCTCAGATTTCGTTAAACGGCTTTAATTTGTAGTCTTTGTACTGTATATAAAGAAATTTGTCCTATAAATCAAATAAGATCGAGTAGGGTTTATGGTAATTCAAAAGATGCTATTTTATTAATAAGTCAGTCATAATTATATCCCCCACCCGGGTCATAAGAGGACCCGTGCTTACCCGGTACACCTTGGGTCGTGGGTTCGATTCCTGCCCTGCCTCTGGGCGTTGTGTATGTCCCGTTTCCCTGTAATTGGACCTCTGGCCTGTTGAGAAACGTAATTCAATAAAATAAATAAATAAATAAAAATAATTAATATGACCGAATGCCTTGGACAAATCACCATATAAATCGTCAACCTAGTTCTTTTAATCAAGGCGTTCTCCAGGATATTAGGATAGATCTTTTTGTAATGAAAGCATTCTGATTTTCAGAGTATTAGAAATATGGGTGCAAATTATGTTATCCAATATGAATTCTAATACTTTATAAGTTATTAATGATGGTATAGGTCAGGTGAGGTGAGGTCAAATCATTTCCGATCTTTTTTCAATACCTGATACACATAAGAAATTTTTCACTTGCTAGGAAACTAATTAAATTTAGATATATGGTCAAAAATATGGGTATGCTAGCATTGGCTTACATCACACATTATTGAATATTTTAACAAGTATATCAAAATATGGAATTCCGTGTAAATTAACCAACTTTGTAGAGAGTATAGACGCAATTTGATAACCAACTTAGGGGATAAATTCAAAGACTAATAACGTAATTATATACTTATATAATCAGTGTTGCTGAACTTCCTTCTCCACTGTTAACAAGACTGAATAGACAGAAAAAGACCAAAAGGTATCATCCTTAAATTGACTGTATAACTGACTTTAAACAATTCGTTAATTCTATGGAAACTTTCTATAAACTATAAACTATAGTGAAGAGTATCCTAATTTGAGCTCCAGGTTAACGTTAAAAGTAAAGTTCTACATTGTGCAGCTTAACAGGAACATTTCAAAACTTAAACAACTTTTTTTGTTGCCTCTGTAAAGGTTAGGACATCTCAAATAGCAATTTTTTTTTCTCATTTTAGAAAAATTTGAAAATAAAATGTAATAAAATAATAAGGCAATATAATATTTTAGAAACATAAAAAGTGTGAAAGTACGTCAACGAATTTAAGAATAATATATATTTTCTATAAAAATACAAAATATGACCCTCTTTAATAAAGTGAACGGGGTGAAAAAGGAAACTAGAAAAAATTATACTAAAAATATTTCTTAAAGTCTATAACATAAATACTGTATTAGGCAGGCAAATAAAAGAACAATCATGAAAATTAAGTTCCGTTCGTACAATACCCACGCAGTATTTACAAATGTAAATATTTAGGATAATAACACTTCTCATCTTTTCGGTTCCTATTTTGTCAAATATCACCAAACACAACTCCAACGGTATTTCAGCTCAATGATATCAATAACTGTGACCGAATCGACTTCTTTGTGACTCATTCAAACATATTTGATGATAGAGCAGTCAAGCCCGCAGAGCTGGGACCATCGACGAAATTTATGTAAATGACCAAGGCGCCTGTATACAAATTGTCAAATTATTCAGTTTGAAATGGTGTCCTTCTTTGTTTGGTACAACTGTATAAAACACCCACATCCAAGGTGCGAACAAAACATAGGTGATCCGGAGTTGTGCTCGTTTTATGCAAGCCGGATTACACCGGTCCTGCAGAAAGACGGTCATCCTGCTATTTGTTGTCTTCGCGGATGCTTTACACGAGTGCGTTTGGTTGAATGTAGAGCGACACGCCTGATAATGCAGTCCGGATTAAAATTTTATTCAGCCATAAAAACTTGTTGGCGTTTATATTGATCGTATTTTTTTGAAATCCCATTTCGAAAACGATTGACTGTACGCGAGAGAAAAGGGAGTTGCAGCACAGATCTGCGTAACAAACGAAAACATATATTAAGTATTTTAAACAACTTGGTAGATTTGTTGGCATAAATAAAAAAGTTCCCAAGGATAGAGCATTCCATACTATAAAATGACCCTTAAATATACGCAGTTGCGAAATGTTCGTCCCAGCAAAAACCCAAAATGCTTGAAAAAGATAGGTTATGACTGGCATTTATGACAGGCGACGAGTAGTCATCAGTCATTACAACGAGGCGGCAAAATTTACGAAATTTCACAGCCAACTTGGTGACATACTTTTTATTGTGTAGTAAGAAATCGTAGATCTGAGGTAACTATGAGTATGATACAAAATAAATTCTTTAGTCAGAAATATTAGGGGAACAAAAAAAAATTTCAGACCAAGATAGTAGATAGTTTTTATAACTGAAGATTTGATCATAATATATTAGTGTGACGGCATATTACTGGCCTACTAACACTGTTAGTTGTATAAATAAGCCTTATTATTATTTATATTATGTTATATTATGTTCTGAAATTCTATTGAATGTTAATCGTTAACTAAATTTGTGATTTTTATATTCTAGGGTAAGCGGAAGTCCTGGAAGTGGTCTCCAACTACTGGGACGGGAACTGCATCCCGCTTATCGTCTTCCTCCCCACATGGAGTACCTCTATTCACTGCAGCATTCCACCGCCAACTCGATACACGGTAAGCAGGAAGCAATCGAAGGTTTTCTTTACTAAGAATGCTAGTGAGCAATAGAATTCCATAATGAAATCGCGGTCGATAATCTCTGATTTAATTTCATTTCGTTAACGCTTCTGTTTCTTGCCATTTGGGAAGCACTGATACGCAAAATTAGATTGGTTCCGCTAGCGTGAACATAGTAACGCAATCGAATGTCGATGATTTTTAAAATAAACCATTGCTCATATGTGTATGTGGATTAGAACTGTGCTTTACAGGTAGTCAATAAAAGATCGTATGAATGCGATGACATTAACAATACAAGAATTTTTCATGCATTTTTAATAAATATTACCTGTGTTTTCCACGACCTGATAATATTTGTTTGTCTTTAAACTAAAGTTTCGTTAAAAATATGTGCAAGTACTATCTTAATTCAAATTCGGAACTCTTATTTTTCACAATTTATTGCATTTTATGAAGGATAAGCTGAAAAATGCTTATGAAGTTAAAGTTGTAAACGCGCTATATCTTTCGTCAAACTTTACTTGTAACATTATTTATATGTCAGTTAACTTTTGTTTCATTGTAAAGAAAAATGTAAAACAATTATAGAAATACAAGCGTCTCAACTTGAAAATATTGAACAGGTTGAAGATGATAAAACGCTAACCAAAATTTGACCCCATCAACAATTTGAATGACGTCTTCTCAAAATACTGCCGGGTAAAACCTACATACATTTTTCAAAATAATAGTGTTTTATTAATCCGTCCTTATTTTTTATCTCTGTTGTTTGAATTTTTAGAAATACATGATTCAAAATTTTATAATTTGACTTTGCTAGGTAGGTTTTTCGAAAATATAATTTACATGCTGCAATTGTATCTGCAATCTATAATTGTTGATGTTTTTTGCTCGGAGTGTTGATCGTTGAGTCCTTATTTTAGTACACGTTTTGTGAGAATTTCCACATTATAAATTCCTTTATTTGGGTCGAACGTTTTCTGTAACACGACTTACCTCGAAAGTCTATTATCTATCTAAATATGCATCACAAGTGAATTTTACAATGTATCTTGTTTGTTTAAAATGAGTGTGTCTTAAACTGTTCACGATGGTTCGAGTTAATAATAGTAATAAACAAAACATTTCAGGCTAAAATGACAATCAACACAAAGGTAGCAAATTTAATATAGTATATTCCCTGCTGATAGATGTCAGCAAAAACCGAACAGGATGTTGACCTCAAACCACGGCTAACAACTGTCATTTTAATGTCATTTTAAAATCGGAAATACCAACTATAGCTCACGATCATAACCAACTCTGACATGTTTTTTAGATCACACGGTTTGCGCCCGCTTATGTAATAAAATTAGTTTTGGCAGCATGTCAGCACCTTTCGTTATAATAAAGATAGAAAACACGTCGTAAATATTCTGCCAAACAAGTTCATTACTCGTAGGCATCGATCATCTTCAAATACAGTGCAATTTTAAATCATCTTTGCGAATTCCCGCTGTAATCTGTACCCGACATTGAAAAATTAATATGAGATCATCATGAAGTTCGAAACTATAAAGTCGTCAAAATAATTTATCACATTTTTTTTCCTCATTTTTTTGGTTGTCATGTATTTTGTCTTTATCTGTTCCGCTTATTAAGCTCTGCGGAATGCGAACCGATTGGCATATTTCGGATGTCTTCGAGTTGAACGTTAATGTTCGCTTTGAGTTCGTCAGTCGAGTAAATGTATCGATAAAATCCCAAGCTATAAATGTCCACGTGTCATTTTTAAAGTCATCTCGTTCGATATTTTAATATCTAATAAAATAAAGGCAGCATTTTCTCAGCTTGATTCCCAACATGGTTGGACATAATAAAATAAAGACTTTATCGATCCAAGTTACTTAATATCGACCTCTATTAAAAATTATGATAATTTATATTTTAATGATACCGTAATCCACTTTTAAGCTTGTTGTTTCTTACTCAGTAACCGGATTACGCTACTTAACTTTTCCAGCTGGTCCTATAGCTAATCAAAGTCGCTACGTCCAACGACACAACAAAACGTTGTGCGCGTTTCTTGCATTTTCATTTGAAGCAGCAGTTTAATACTGCAGACACACTTTTACATTTTTCAAAAATATTATAGGAGTAGGTACTAAATAACACAATCAAGTACATGTTTTCTTATATTGGCAAACAAAAACAGGAACTATGGTATTTATGTGAGTAAATATCCTATACAAGGTGCTTCATCTCAAAAGAATGGTGAAAAAATAGTTTAAAATTATCTTATAAATTGTATGGAAATCATTACTTGACAAAGATAGATCTTGTAAACAAGGTGATTAACTTTTCGTGAAAATATTGTTATATAAGAACATTTTCAAATACGTAACGATATTTATTAATGCAAGTGTCAGCTTAAGTGCTTTATTTTGCACATGTGATCATTTCCAAATCCATATTAGGCTTTCCTTTTTTAGTCGCTTAGAAACAAGACGAACATTCGTGTATCTATGTATATACCTGCTTTCACTCTTTACACAAAGCTAGAAAAAACTACAATGTATCCAAAATTGAGGTAATAAAACTGACGCACATGCCGCACAAATAAATTCGAGCAAGTTGCAACAAACATTTGTGTCAACGCGCATTTATAAGGAGCTCGTGAAAACAAACATAAGCTATGTATAAATAAACCGAAGCGTTTCCAATATTCCAGAATAAACAAACATGCGTCTTCTGCAAAAATAAATCATTAAGCTCACAGACGTCAAAAATTACTAATGTAAATAATGGAAAATTGCAGTTCTACGCTTGAAGCAGACGTGTCAGAAGTATATATGCTGTGTGCTAATTGTTTCAAACAGCCAGTGGACAAAAGTGACAGCATAACATACAAGCGCGTGAGTAATACGAACATGCGGGTTCTAGAGTTAAATCTATACAAGAAAGCACCCTCGCATCCGGTTTTTTAATGAAATCGTCGGTGCTGTTGTGGTCGAGATAATTTTATATTTTAAAATCTAGCATTCTACATTAACATTCCTTTGACTCATTTGCAGTTTTTAAATAATGCGTGTGTAAGTAATCATTGCATCAACACTTCAAAGCAGGCGTTGTTTTTGCCGCTTTATCGAAACAGTGCCTCTAATCGCACCGATAAATTGACGTAACATCGTTAATTTTTGACGAGTTGTGTACGTCTTTCATCTCAACTGATTGAGTAAATTACCTCAAAACTACCACTTATTATATTTTACAGTAACGAATCCACAAAATACAGTCAATCATAAAACTTATAATAGCACTTCCGGTTTTGCGCAGTAAAGATAAATACAGTGAACTGAACATATAGAGAATGATAATCGCAAAAAATAACCAAAGATTTTACAATATTTCCGCCATTGATGATTTTGTATAAAGCCGTAAAGAGAAAAGTCGTGGACAATTCAAAAAGGTTTTCAAAACGAAAATGTGTTGTTTACACAGTGTATAAAATTAACCATAAAGCAATGACATTTACAGAATTTCTCAGCCCAACATGCACGATCACCTTTAAGTTGTGCAAATAATCTGTAGAAGTATTATCGGAGAAGATATCAGTCTTTTTCTTATCACTATTTTAGTAAAATTAGTACATATTCAAAATCCTATATTTCCAATTTAAATTGCAGTTATTCCAATAATCAGCTAAAATTAGCAACCAATGCGGAAGACAAATTAACAGATTTTTAACGCTAATCTGGTTCCATTTTTCGGTTCTTCTCCATGTGACAGCATCTATTTAGTCATACGAGGTTAATTTTTCACTCGTTGCTTCAATTACAATGTAAGCTTTGTAAGCAGCGTGCTTGAAATCCCGAAGAAAGCCTGATCACAGGAACAAAACCGAGATGTTTGAAAGCGAACGAAAATAGATTATGGTCGTAATATATTTCACCTAACCAGATGCGTACAGCGGTTCAGCGGGATGTTCTCAACCCCATAATAAACCCATGTGTTCAATAGCACATGTACTTTTTATGGGACATTGTAAAGATAACTGCCACAAAATCTGTGAAGTGGTCAGTGCAGCGTGTTCAAATTTTGCTTTGAAGTCTAAATATTGTAACAGTAGTTAATTTTTACTTTAACATATTTATAGAAATTATTGTTGTTTATTATTCGTGTCTTCATGTGTTTATCATTAGGATGTTACAAGTTTGCATCCTTGGCGCCATATGCACTTCTTGAAAATTATTGCCGAGGCTTAGTTAAAGACTAAAGTAAATTTTAATTAATGAAACGGATTAGGAAATAGCCGGGTTCTTCTAGATAATTTGACAGATTAGTGAAGAAATGTGTGCACAAAAACGATAACAATGATCTTCTTCATTAGAACCAGATGTAGTAAGTGTTGGAGACTTTGAAGATTTACTTAATGAACCGTTGCCCTCGCTATTTTCAGTTCATTATGTTGTGTGTGCGTTGGTCGGTTGGGTTAATTTTAAACATGTGAATATTGGTAACACAACATACGTCACGCATATGTACAATCGACCAAACAATTTTCTCACACCTTGACGATCTGACTTACATTGTTATGATTAATAATGCCACAATCAATGGAGCTGTATTATACATTAAAATTTGATAGTTCCTTAATACAATGGTACTTTGATTTCTATATTTTAATCACTAGTTATTTAAAAATAACTACTACAGTTACTGCACAATTATTTTGAACAACATTCGTTCGGACGATTTTCTTCTTATATGGAAATGAAACATTTTATTGTTCAACGGTCCAATGAATGCGATAATCCTATTTATAGTTATAATGCATCAATTCTTATCTTTATTAAAAGTTAATGTCACATTTCTCGGTGCGCTATAACTTGGGTAAGTGCATATTGTCGAACAATGTCTTTCACTGTATTTGAAAATACTCGTGATTTTATAAATGATGTGAAGTATTGAACACGACGTTCAGAATCGTAAACAAAACAAAATTTACTCCACTGTTCCGTTGAACTTCTAACTGGACACCTACAAATGAAAGTGACAAGAGTCAATAAGATTGATCGATCGAGCAGAGAACGTCAACAAACGGAGCTCATTAATTATAATCACGAGTTTAAATTATCTCATTTCATATGCTAATCTGTCAGCTTCACTCACAGGACGTTTTTCTCTTGCATCGCTTCTCGTCTGAATCCAACACCATCTACCCATGGAATCCTCTCCACATAAATAACCACTTCCTCTTATTAATAGGCTCAGCCGACGAAATTTTGATTAATACCAGATTTTTTAAAGCGTGTTTTTCGTTTGTTCTTTACCGTAGGAAACATAAGTTTGAAAGTAAATCGTGCGTTATTTCGAAACTGTTTAGACCGGCATAAGTTAGTCGTGAAGTTTATTTTATTTTTGAGGGCATTTCAGTTGTCGACGAAGCGTAATTATTGCTTCTGTCTATATTTATTCACGTCTGGCGCCGCGTACGTACGAAATTAAGCCATAAGCACATTTCCTTTCACGAAATGTACTAAAATACCGAAAATATTCCAGCGCAATTAGGCACGACGTTTTTGTTACGCCAGCCAGAGGTTATTTTGAATTTTTCTCGGTTTCAGGACTGGGACTGTCTCCAGAATATCTCAGCGCTAGAGGGCTGTCAGAGCTTCATCCATCGTCGGCGTTGGCCAGCAGCGAATTTCCCTTTAGCTTAGATGGTAATTACTTCCTTACCCACGTAAAACATTAAATCACCATTCTTCATTTGTTTGGCAGGTTCACGACTGAACAGTCCCAGGCCTGGTAGCATAAGACAATCACGAAAAAGAGCTTTATCCTCCTCCCCTTATTCAGATTCCTTCGATATCAATTCCATAAGATACTCCCCCAACTCCTTGGTCTTAGTTAATGGTTCGAGGTCATCGAGTGCCAGCGGATCATATGGGCACTTATCGGCAGGAGCAATCAGTCCTGCTTTCAACATGCATCCCGAGCTCCACCTTCAGCAGCTCCAGGCTCATCTAATGAGGAGCGCCGGTTCTTTACTACCCTTACCTCCTGCAACCCCTACACATTCAATGTACTCTCTAGGACATCACCCTCTACATGTTTCTTCACCTCACAACATTTCCAAGACTGATGTAAGCACATTACTATTACTGACAACAAGAAATATAAACGTCGTTTCGTTGCAGTCTGTTAACGATAGGAAGAAAGCTGAGACTGGTACTTTAACACAATTAGATTCTGACGCTCAAGCAAGAAAAATTAAAATTAAAAAAGAACCGACCAACGCTGGAAATGGATCATGTGGAACGAATGAAGGACAGAACGACCAAACGGATCTCAAAGACGAACCGGGAGATTTCATTGAAACGAATTGTCATTGGAAAGACTGCGCTACGGAATTCCAAACTCAAGACGAACTGGTCAAAGTAAGTTCTCTTGATTAATGAAGTAATCTTAGTTACAGTTCTCTTTTCCAAATTTCAGCATATCAATAACGATCATATACATGCCAACAAGAAATCATTCGTCTGTCGATGGGATGGGTGTTCACGGGCCGAAAAACCGTTCAAAGCTCAATACATGCTCGTCGTACACATGAGAAGACACACTGGGGAAAAACCACACAAATGCACGGTATTTGTATTAAGCAAAGTGAAAAGAACTAGCATCAACAATTTTCTTTCAGTTTGAAGGTTGTGTTAAAGCATACTCCAGACTAGAGAACCTAAAGACACACTTGCGATCTCATACGGGGGAAAAACCATACACTTGTGAATATCCCGGTTGTTCCAAAGCTTTTAGTAACGCATCAGATAGGGCCAAGCACCAAAACCGAACACACAGTAATGAGGTGAGTTATCTTCCTCTTAAAATTCTACAAAATCACTACTATCAATTTCTTTGCTTTCGTGGAACTTTTTATTGTAAGTGATTATATCTTCAATAGAAAAATTACAGAATAAGATCACTTCACTAATTTTTTTTAGAAACCTTACGTGTGTAAAGCGCCAGGATGTACAAAAAGATACACCGATCCGAGTTCCCTCAGAAAACATGTCAAAACGGTTCACGGTGCGGACTTTTACGCCAACAAGAAACATAAAGGAGTTGATGGAGGCTCTGAAGACGGTGCTGCTGGTTTAGACTCGAGTCCTCGAAGTGAAGATATGCAAAGTCACAAAACGGCCAGTCTCAGTAGTCCAAGTATTAAATCTGAGGTAAGCGTTGTAAAATAACTCGAAACTTTTGTAATTCAATTTTGTTTTTTCTTTAGTCGGATGTTAACTCTCCTGGACATCAGCAACAAGGAAGTCCTCTTGGAGCAACGCAATTGGCTGGTGGTTGTAATGACGACTTTTCTACTGATATGACAACGACTGTACAAAGAAATGGTCCGATGGACGATCCTGCTTGGCCTTACGATGCCGAGGACTTAGAGGTAATAACTGTTTAAGTTGCAGTCATAACAAAGTTTATAAATCAATAAATATTCTCCAGGTTGATGATTTACCGGATGTTTTACGAGCGATGGTTGGAGGAGGGGTAGCGGTTAGTGAAAGACATCCTAGGACTAGAATGAAGCCGCGGTTACAAACCAAACCTCTTTCTAGTATGACGTCGATGTCACCTGCTCAACGTAAAAATATAGGAATAACAGATCTTAACAGAAGAATAAATGACCTGAAAATGGAGGGTACCGTTAGTGGCCCTCAAAATAAGACACAATTTACCGACTTGCAACAAAGGTTGCAACCGCCGGGCAATACTCAAGCTCAAATAAGAAGAGACAGCAATTCGACGGTCAGCTCATATTACGGTAGCATGAGGAGCGCCGACATGAGTAGGAAAAGTAGTTTGGCATCTCAGGTAAATTAACATAAAGGTAGAAATTTAAAATGTTTGTTCTAAACATATACAATCGTTTAGGCTTCAAGTATGAGACCTGGTGTAACGCCAGGGTCATTCTACGATCCTATTTCGGCTGGAAGTTCACGACGATCAAGTCAATTGTCTACCGCAACTACCGGAGGAACCTGTGTACCACCAACACCTCCATCACATTTGCTTGCAGGACAGCTGCAGAGGTTGCAAAATGTCCCGACTAAAATCACTGGTGGAAATGGAAACTTAGTACTACAAGTAAGCAATTCCCATCATGTAGAGGTCATTTTAACTGAATCTTACCTTTTACAGACGCAAAACGTATCTCTTCAACAGACTGCCCTACAACAAAGCTGGATGACCAACAGCTTTGTTGAAAACATTCCATCTTCAAACACGACGGCTAGTACAGACACAAGAAGAATGTCTGAACCTTGTCACACTCTCACGGATCGCAAAAGCCCTCCACCAAGACCAGCATCAGTTACTCTTTCTCCACTCAAAGGGACCGTTAGTTCTTCAGAGCTTCACCCTAATCAGGCAGTCGTGTTAGATGAAGTTGGAGAAGGAGAAATGGTTGAGAATAAACTAGTGATACCGGACGAAATGGTCCATTACCTGAGTCAAGTGGCTGATAATCAAAACAACGACTTTAGTACAGCTATGAGTTGGTCGGAAACAAACCCAAACACTACAGTACAAAAACCTTTACCAAGTCCAAGTCAGACGTTGTCTTCCCCTTCAAATTTGAGTCAGATATTACCGTCACCTTCTTCTAATTTAAACCAAGGCTTACCATCACCTCAGAGTCGGAATGTGTTGTCACCCTCTGGAATTTTGCCATCTCCAAGTAATTTGAACCAAGTGATGCCATCACCTTCAGGTTTGAATCAGATGATGCCCTCGCCCGGTAACCAAGTTACCCCAATGATGCCATCGCCAGCACCCACTATGAACCACATGATGCCATCCCCAGCTGGTAATTTCAACCAAATTATGCCGTCACCTTCATCGAATTTTGGTTCTATACAAAACCCCATGCTTTCGCCAGCGCCCAGTATGAACCAAATGGTGCCCTCACCTGCGTCTAACATGAACCAGATGATACCGTCCCCAATGTCTGTGAGGTGTCATTCTCAGTTAATGTCGCCCGGAACTAACCAAATGCCTATGCAAAGTCCAAATCCTCAAGTCGTACCTCAGAATTGCAACATGATGCAACACAATCAAGTGATTCAGAATGGCGTAATGTTGCATAATAACCAAATGATACAACAGAATCCGTGCTACAGCCGACAAATCAACCATGGGTTGTGTTACGTTCAGCACGGGTCGACATGGGATAACAATCAGAGCCGTCAGTGCCACAATCAAAATATGATGACGCAACAAAACGAACACCACAATGTTTGCCATTCACAAAATCCCAACAATGATTACAACTGCAGGCAACAATTGCAAGTTAATAACAGCTACGTGGGGTCAGGGATGTCGGGAGGATCTGTTGCCCAGTGTACGAATCACTACAATCAGATGTGTAGTCCAAATGGTTACGTACCTAACGGGTGCCCATCAAACAAACCCATGAATAGTTACCCTTGCAACACTAATGTATATCCACCGATCCAAAGTCCAGCATATAACTGCATGCCCAGTATGAATGAACCGCTGCCATCTCCTGCAATGGCGACACCTGCGCCCACTGACATGATGAACCAACCCCAACAAGCACAAATGAGCCGACCATGCGCTCACTATGGTCAAAACTGTTATCAGCCTTCATACAATCAGTGTATGCCAAATAATGTACAAAATCACGTGCAGAACTGTAATAATTGTGCCAACTGTCGGAATCAGTCACACAAGTGTTACCACCAATGCAGAAGTAACAGTGAAATACAGTGTAAGGATATCAGTCAGTCGCAAATGTCGCCTGGTATCACGGTCAACCAACAAACCCAAAATACTGGAAGTACAAACGGTCCAACGGTACAACCATTGGGGATGAGACAAGACGCATATCAAAGGACGTTGGAATATGTCCAGAACTGTCAGTCGTGGGTTACGAATTCTGACATGGTTAGCAGCAGCACACACCCATTAGGAAAATGCTCCGATACCACAAGTTCAAATATGGTCGTTAATGATATGACTTCATCGCTCAGTTCCTTATTAGAAGAAAACAGATATTTACAAATGATTCAATAGTTCAAAGACTGTCAGGCACTTGGTGTACTGGCCGTATATCATGTAATTTTGTAACTGTATTTTAAATTTTAAGTACAGATTCAAGAGTTTGTATAAAATGTACATTGTGATATTAAATTTGTAATTAGTTTTTGAGCAATATATAAATAGAGAAGGCTTTAATGTTGTATATTAATATCGTGTATAAATTTATAAATATGATGGAAGCAATTTATTTATAATATTGTAATAATTAGAGGTCTATGATCTCACTTCACATAAGGCCATTTACTGCCATGTTCATATCAGACAATAAGTACACATATTTTATTGAAGTAAGTTTGTATATATGTTAGATTTAGAAGTTTATTTTGTATTTGCTATAGAAGATTATTTAATAAATGATGCGCTTAAACTGTTTTTTTTTAATCTAATAAATAAAAAAGTGATATAAATAATAAAGATAATATTTCTCTTTCTCTCTGCCTGACCCTCATATTCTTAATTGTCAAATAATAACTTGTTTTTCTTACTCTCTTCTGAACATTTTGTCAGCTGTCGCAAGTTCTAATATTTGTGGCTTACTGAACTTTCTTATTTTATGTTTTTATTCTATGAAGACATGTTTTGTTAAATCATTGCACTGATTTTTCCACACGATCAACGTCAAATGAAATAGTTATTTACATTATGAGTGCGGTAGGTAGCATTTTACAGGTGAAGTTTTAATTTTGAAGCACGACGCGTAGCGGAGTGCTTCAATAACACCGAGTTATTTTACCGCACCGTGATGTGGTAAATCAATGAATTACTGTAAAATCGTAGCTACCGGGTACATCAGTCGCTCATGAATGAGCTCTTTACAGATCGGGACGCCAAAAAATAAATTCTACTCCATTATATTTTAAATTAGTTAAGACACAGAGGAAACACACAATACATTTTTGTGCTAATTGCTAATATAATTGGGAAAGTATTAATATTCATCATTTTTAAAAATCCACTATTTTTGACAAATGTTCAAAATCAATTCGATATAATGATACAAACTCATGACGTTACTTTACCCCCAAAGAAGTGCCTTCTGTTCAATGTACTCAGAAAGAACTACATAATAGTTGTTTAACACTTGAAGCTACTTGACACATTGATATACCCAGGGGCGGCAGGGTCGGCCACGCCGTACCAGTCATTTTAAAATACTTTGTAAGCGTTGAAATTAGAAAATAAAAAAAGAAATAAAGTTTGAATGTACGTTAGTATAGAACATATATATTAAAAAATATATTTTATTATATTGTAGGGCCAAAATAAAGCATATGTTGCTAATTTTAAATGCTAATAAACACGCTTTGCCGGCGAGATTTCGGCACGCCGTATCCAGGAAAGCATAATGCTCGATGTTTCGACTTCGTAGCAGCTTACAGTTCCATCGTTCTCTTTGTTTACTACACTGCAGTAGACAAAGACCTGGCGGAACGTATGTTGCGCCAGGTCCGGCAAGATCCTCCTTCGCCGTACCCAGCAATGCGAATTTAGTTTTTAAAACGCTTAATATTTAAGATAGCTAACAAAATTACAAAACAATAACGGCTTCGATGTTCTTCAGTGCATACTATTTTTTTTTTAATAATAATTGTTGATTTAATACATTTTCCTGTGTATGAATAATAAACGAAAAAAATTACATTAAATTATCTAAAATTTTATTGTTCGTACATAACTTAGCTACAACATAAATGCGCTTTTTCTGTATTTTTAGCATCTAAGCGTTTTCAGATATTTCAGAAATGAATTTAAAGTTTTAAATCATTTTAATTTTAATTCAATAATTATTCAATTAATTTATCTGACAATTTGCCATACCTATACATTTAAAAAAAATTAAATGTAAATGAAGATAGTTAACAGTTGGTACTTTTATTATTACTTTTTTTATATTTTTTAACTGCATGCCATTATTTAGTTATTATTATTTAATTGTGGATGTCCGGGGTCGGCAAGCCGTATAGCTGCCGGTCGACGCGGAACCCAGTAAAAATAATTTTTTGGTGGTTCTCAATTAATGATAAAGCAGAACAAGTAGAATTAAGTATTAATAGTATTTGGAATCAAACTGACATTGTCAATTTCCTATAAAAAAATTATTTTAACAAGTCGAGGTCGAAACATTTGAGATGTTTTGTATATCCTGGCACGTAAAATGTCAGTGGTTAACGAGTAGCGGCCATACATTACGAAAATATATAAGACCAAGGTGTAGACTCAAAATATTTGGCCGACCCGAAATTTTGACCCACCAGCCGCCCCTGGATATACCTAATACTGTTTGTAGTACTTAAGGTACTACTATAATGACAATGACTTGATATAATAACAACTGTATTGTTAGAATCACTTTTCTAAAGAAAAGAAACAAATTTCTGAACATGTGCACATGAGGAAAAGAGTTCATAAAAAAAATAAAATAAAATACTTACAAAGTATGCAGCAAAAAGACGTCAAAAAAAATTTTGATCAAAACAAAAATACGACAAAATTATCCATCAAAATAGCCTTCATAAAAGATGAAAAAAAAAAACAAAAAAACATTCAGTATAAAATTCGAACCTTTACCAATAAAAAACATGAAATTTTTGTGTACACAAAGAAAAATACCATCAAAATTAACATCAACTTTATACATACTAATTTTTAATAACGGTGCAATTCAACATTACACACGTTTAATTAGTAGATAAGATTAAAAAAATAATAATCAGAAAAAGTTCTGAAATCACAACACAATCACAAGCAAAATTTTATATTTACATCATGCGATTCTTGATGAAGATGAACAGAAAAAAATCTATATGACCGACTCAAAATACACCAAAAAAAAAAAAGAGTTTCGGAGAATATTTGCCTAAAAATTCGCTAACAAACAGATAGACGGAAATGGAAAATCGATATTTTCACTTCATAAACTATGGAATGTCCAGAAAACAAGAAATGAAATAGAAATAACCTGGTTACACTAATTTTTATATAAATTTAAAATAGAAGAACTGGAAAAGCAAGGCACAATACTTTGAATAATAGAATACATAAATTCTAATAGTAATACTTACCCTTTAAATCCTGATTTCCTTTCCTTCCGCGCCAATCATTGCAGACTCCTTCCTCATAGGCACATCACAACACTCACCTTTCACTTTACGCCTGAAACCAAGTCAAAACCTGAACTCCTTTGCATAACACGAAAAATTAACAAAAAATTCATCAGACATTTTTTGCAAAGTTTTTATTCATTGATGCATCGCACAATAAATGAATCTTAACTAAAATACTATACTACAACATTATTCATTAGCAGAACGTAATTTTCGTGCTGTGTGGATGAATAAGAAATTACGAATGTTACATTTTTTTTTATATATATATAGTTAATGACACAACAGAGAATTCAGTTTTTTTCACCATTTCTGCAAAAATACTCATGTAAAATAGATTCGAGATATCGTGGTCTGCACACGTGCGATTAATAGAAAATATATTTAAACCATATAGAGATAACCAACGAGAAAATGTCTAATTATTAGTAATTATACAGTTAGCTTCGAGTATTTATGTTTATACTTTGAAAGAATACGACTACTTATAATCACATACAACATACAAGCATCAGGGGCTGCACCTACATACAGCCACCCACGTTTGGTGGTTCTATATCCCACTTTCCTTAAGAGATAATCACAGCATCGGATAGTTCAGTGGTCAGAATACCCGAATACCCGTCCAACAAGTGGGAGACATTGATTTAAATTTCTCTCAGGCTCTTACATTTTTTTCTCGCTTTCCACGGTTCCTATAAGAAGTCCTTTAGAACAATCTTCTTTTAAAGGCCTACTCTTAAGGACTTCGGAAAAATTAATTACGTTTTCCACTGCAGTTTTCGCTATATTTGAAACTTGGAATTTTTGTGGAATTGTTTTTACTACCATTTGTCCTGAATAAATTTTATAATTTACCGGTTCAGTCACTAAATTTTAGGAAGATAACTAAATAGATTTGTTCATTCAATATTTGTTGACGAACAGTCGATGGGTTGATGATTTTTGCATGCTCTTTTAAGTCTGATTTCTTTTGATATTTTTTAAATTTACTGTTATCAGTGATAACTAATCACCTTTTTGTGTGAAGAAGCTGTTAAGTTCGATGTTCCAATCCAGATTTTTAGTTCCTTGACTTTGAAAATTAACGTGCAAACGCAGCAATATTTTAAAATTTAGTCACTACACGATGCTTTTTTAATAAGATGCAACTTATAGATGTGGAGTAATTTAGATTTTTAGATAAAAGTGTTAGAAGTAGGCTGTAACTGTCCTTGGTAAATATACGAAGACAAAAATAGAAAAACTTACATGAGTTTAGTAATGAACTGCATAAAACCAGATTTTTTTAAAATATACGGAATATTACGAAACATCTGGTAAGTTGAGTTTACTTATTACAAGCCATGTCGTATCAGCAACTGTTCTAATAAAGGCACTAAAATTAATTTTTGCAGTTGTTTAAAACAATCTACATAATATTAATTGCACTTCACAATTTAATATCTCTGATTTTTTTGTAAATAAGAAATAAATTATAAACAATAACAATAATTACAACTTAAAAAATTGTAAACACAGGAACAAATAAATTTTGAATAGTCGGTGGTTTATTTTGTTTCACAGGTAACTTTTTACTAAATTTTGTTATTCAACAGCATGAGTGGTACTTTTATTAGCGCCAGCTCCGATACCTTGTGATTTACATAGGACATGCGATGTGGTAACGAAGTTATATTATCAACATGCAGTTAGAAATAAGTAAAAAAACTAATAAAACAAACGGAAAAAATTAAACTGTGAACATAATTTCCAGCTGTCAACATTATTTCGATTTGTATTTACCGCGACAGTGGGGGCAATAGTAACGCAGACGTCGCAGGTTCTCTAAATTTTTGTACCATCAGTTAAATCAAATCAATAATTAATTGCGAAAGAGAATAATACGTTACGTAAGTAGCAAAAAGTATTTAAACAAATCGGTGTCGTGGCGTTTAAATATTTGGGGTATTTACATTTGAATCAATAGTAAATTTTACTAATTTGGTTGGTGTGCTTGCAGAGAAAGAAAGGTTATGTTTATTTTAACCTAAAATTTTCACATGCTTGTAAGAACTTTCGTGGCTAGTTTTAAGTGAATTATAAAATTATTACAGTTATAAATAATAATATAAAATGGGCTTAACGAAGCAATATTTGAGATACGTACCAGCTGGAAATTTTAATATAATTGCAAGTCAAAATTGTAACGTTGAATTTGTTACTTTGGAAGGACAAGAAGGAAGATTTGTGGCAGTTGGAGCATGCGAACATATTATTATTTGGGACTTACGACTAGGAGAAAAAGTAAAATCGTGCATTTGCTCAAATAAATTTCGTTAAAGCTCTATTGTTCACAGGCTCAAGTACTCCCTGGAGAAAAAGCTATCATTACAGCTATTTGTGCAAGTCCGAATAAGAGACACTTAGCTGTAGGTTACGACGATGGAAACGTACAAGTTTATGACTTGAAGTCTGCAGAAGTAATTAGCATCTTTTCTGGGCATCGCTCTGAAGTTACCACTTTGGCTTTTGATAGTTTTGGACATAAGTTAGCCTCTGGTTCAAAGGTATTTCAACAAACTACCAAAAATTAATTAAATTAATGTGGTTGCTTTTAGGATACTGATGTTATAGTGTGGGACACTGTTGCGGAAACCGGTCTTTGCAGACTTTCAGGTCATAAAGGACCCATTACACAAATTTCTTTTATGTCTCAGTATCCCATTTTAATAAGTGGTTCTAAGGATAGCTTTGTTAAATTCTGGGATTTGGATACACACCATTGCTTCAAAACATTAGTTGGTCATCGAACTGAGGTATAATATTTTTAGTAAATTGTAATTGTAAACATAAAGGTATGATTTTTGCAGGTGTGGGGCTTAAGTTTGATTAAAGATGACCAGTACTTAGTGACAGGTTGTGGTGATGCTGAATTAAGAGTCTGGAAACTGTCACAGAAAGACCATGATTCAGAAAATAAAAATTTGGTTGACCACCTAACAACAACTTTGGAGTTGGTTGATTTGCATGATTCTGATGATCCAAATGTAAGTTGAACGTTGCACAATGTGCAATAATTGTGAAGCAAATTTTATTTTAGCATCCTTTACAATGTCACAAAATAGGATCTTTATTGAGAGCTGGTAAAGGACGCGTAGTGTCTATGTTTAGTGATGCTAGTGGTCAAGTTATTGGCTGTCATGGTACAGATATGCAGCTGGAAGTATTTTACTTCTGTACAGACGATGAAGCTCAAGTGCGTTTAAAAAAGAGATTAAAAAAGGAAAGAAAGAAAAAGTAAGTAATTATATTTTAAATATATTGCTAAATTGTTACACATTTTTCTGTTTTAGCAAAGCTTCATCAGATGAAAATGAGGAATTAGAAAATAATGATTTGCAACTCACATTAAGGGATGAAGTAAAACGATTGGTTCCTATAAAATTATCAAATAAACCAAAGTCTTTGGATTTAGTTCTTGGCAATGGTGGTGAATTAAGAGTAGCTGTTAATTTATCTAATAACACTGTAGAATTATATACAATTCAGACTAATGTCAAAAATTCAGAAGCCACTTGTTTGAGATCAATTATTCATCAAGGACATCACAGTGAAGTTAGAGCAGTTAGTTTTAGCAATGATAATTTAGCTATTGTTTCTGGAAGTGCAGAAGCCATTAAAATGTGGAATAGGCCGTCACAAGCATGTTTGAGGACAGTTAGTACAGGGTAAGTTTTTTAATTTATAGCAAAATGTCAGTTGAATTGCAATTACTGATTGGCGGGAGCAATCCATTTTTCAAAATTTCAGCTGTGTTTTTTAAATATGAGTTATGAGCTGATGAAGAAAAGTGCTTCATTATAAAGACACAAGTTAACCAGAAACAAAGAAATAGTGTATATATGTCACTTAATTTTATAACGTAATATTACTACTTCATTTTAAAGATTCTCACAAGGATTATGTTTTCATTAAGAACTCCAAATTTAACCAATAGTTCACAGTTACAGAGGTTGTGTTTCTTATTAGGAAAAACATTAAATGAGTATTTGTAATTTCCATGTTTTACTTCCAGAACATAAATTAAGAAAGGATAGTAATTAAGTCCATCGGGCTACTTGCCACTTTCATGTTTTCTCGATGTGTCATAACCCCTAGAGTACGAAGAGTTGTCTCCCATTTCCGTCTGTCTGTTTGTGTCGATTTTTATTAGACAGATAATCTCCAAAACTACCGGACTGATTGTTGTCAAATTTTGTACGTATAGTAGGACTAGATATGGTGAAACATTAATCAGAATTTGCTTAATCATCAGCAACGACAATTTGATGGCGTCATCTCCAAAATTTATAATAATAATATCCGTGTTGAGTTTTCACTCTAGAGGAAAAAAAATCAAAATTGTATAACATTTTGCGATGTAACTTTGAAATTGCAAAACCGAATGCTCTGAAATCTTGCAAACGTTTTAAGGTTATCATGATAAATCGTCAATCAAAATTTATTCGTTTATCCCCTCCTAAAAAATTGATAATGTCTTCTCAAAATTTTGCCGAATAAATCCTCTCTGAAATATGCAATATTATGACTCTGTACTTGTGGTGTACACTTCCAGTTGTTAAAATTACTAATACGGGGTGACTCAAAAAATTAATGAATGAGGCAATTTATTGTATTGATTAAATCAAGAATGACACACTCCATTTTCCCGAAAATTTGGGAATACAATACTATTATTATTAGTACTACACTGCCTGTATTCAGATCGAAACTGCAGTCGACAGCTTTTATTATAGTGTCTAACTTTTCGAGTTAGTAATGCACGCGATTGCCTGACAATGGAAAAATTCTCGACAAAATCTATTCACCCACTTCCTTCAAAACATTAGGGCCGTCAATTCTAAATTTTGTTGGATAAATTTTACGCGAAATATATGGCATGATATGTTTATTAATTTGGAATTACCCTAAACCTAAAATAATGGAGTTAGTGATTGTAGATCATTAACTAAACTGTCCATCCTTTCTAGCTAGAGTATTGATAACAACACGTCAAAAAATCATTAAGTAAATGCTTGTTTTATGTTTTGCTTTTATTCGGGCCTAGGAGACAAAAAAATTAAACGCCGTTTATAGTGTCAACTATTTGCGGTGTTTTTTTACACCTTCAGGATGCATAAATTATTAACAATTCTTATTATGGTCCTCATTTATTCGTGAAGACCCCCATTTTATCGCTAAAAAATAATAAAGACATCAAATCCTATCATTATGGACAATCTCCATAAATCAAATGTGTTTCAAACTTTTTTCTGAAATGGGTCCATGCTTGAACTTTAATAACAAGCTGTAGTTTCTATAATAGCTTACAACGCATTATGCCTCAAAAAAATGAATGCACAAATCGATTTTCCCGATAATTAATTTTCCGGAATTGAAGCGTTGATAAATTCTTAATACAAAGTCGATACAGTCGTTATGGACATTTCTTGTTCAGGCAGACAGACAGACAGACATATAGGTGGGAGTGAGAAACCTATTTTTTTGTATCTTATGAGCTGGTAAAACAAAAAATTAGCTATCCCCAAATCCTGAGCTGAGCTATAGCGTGAGAAGTAAAAAACCTGAAGAGGATTTGCGTTAGATAATTTTTATTTTTTTTTTCCTGCCGGAAATAATTTAATCCCGTCCTATCTTTCGTGTTTATTATCTCATTAAAAATTACTTGATCTCGAATTTACGACGACCTATCTTAAATCGCATTATTAATGAGATTAGTGGTGCATTTTACACAGTTTTCACTTGCGTGTCACGATGTTCCACACCATGAACAGACCATGTTACGTGTTATCGGAAAAAATTCTTCAATAAAAGCTTTTTTTCCTTTGTGTGCTGTCGTATTTCCTTCAACATTAATTAATTCTTTTCCTTGAAAAATAGGTATATTTTGTCGACTATCTTTGTCCCTGGAGATCGTCACGTCCTGGCGGGTCTGAAGGATGGAACGTTGTTAATTATCGACATAGCAGCCGGAGACATATTGGAAGAAATTCCAGCCCATAGCGCCGAATTGTGGTCGATTTGTTTGCTGCCAGATCAGGTTTATTGACAAAAATATGTTTTGTAAATATGTGCTGATATGCTAAATATTGTAGAGAGGTTGTGTGACTGGAGGTGGCGATAAAACTGTAAAGTTTTGGCAGTTTGAGCTCGTGGTTGATGAAAAAAGCGAAAGCAAAGCGAAAGTTCTTTCGTTGTTACACACACGAACGTTAAAACTTGAAGATACCGTTCTTTGTGTGAAAATATCACCCAATGGGAAATTCATTGCAGTTGGATTATTGGACTCCACTGTTAAAATATTCTTCGTGGATACGTTCAAGGTAAGTGTGCTTTCTTATTCGAACTTTTTTTTTCAACAGGAAATTTGTTTCCTCAGTTTAATAATAATACGTAAGTAATGCTGTAATAATACCTCCATGCATTATAATAATGTATTAAAATATCGGGGAAAAGGTTTCAGCATGTCGGTGATTAAACCGCACTGATAAATATCAGAAATTACAAATGTATAAATAAAAATGACGGACACTTTTTAATAAGATTTTTTATGAGATACGTGTGAAGTTACAAGGAAAATACAAGATTAATTAATTTTATTAAATACATAAATTAAATCATATTACCATTACAGTGAATGAATACGTTCCTACTTTCTCGAGTCGGCTCTTCGTTACCTCCATCGATCATTTCTGCATTAGTGTTTATGTTGTTAATTTCTTTTGTTATTGTTAATCTTAACTCCTTCAAATTGTTGACAGATTTTCGATAGTTTTTTCTTTTAATGATGTCTCAACAAAAGTCTGCAGGGGTAAGATCACAAGATCTCGAGAGCCAGATATTCTCTATATGTCAATTAATGACCGGTTGTCAAAAAATTCTCCCAGCATTCCTATTATGGTCCGATTGCGCTGTAGGTCCGTGTTGTTGAAAATAATCTACTTCCATTTCTTGTAGTGAAATTGTGGTATCAAATCTATTAACATTACTATCAGCAACTAGGTTACCTTAAAAAGAATTACATTGAATGAGTCAGTTAATCACCTAACTATTATTGTTATTACTTTCAAAGAATATAGGCCGTACTATCTATCCATCGATGACTAATTGCAGCCCAAATACCAATTTTTTAAGGATGAAAGGGAGTCTCAACATGAACATGTGATTTTTGCTGCTCCATATTCTCATATTTTGAGAATAATGTACTCAGTTAAGTGAAACCAGGCTTCGCTGTAAAACAGGTTTTTTTCCAAAAGCCAGTTATGAAATGTTTTCAAAAACCACAAACATTAATGTTATTGTGAAATTCTACCTGGAATTCATCCCAAGCCGCTTGAATTGAGTAATCCCCCCACACCGTTTACCTACTGTCCATTTCGAAAATACGACTCGATCCTTTTTCTACTCCAATGGAAATGCCATTTTTAGTGAATACGCGAAAATTTTGAAAAGAACTGTTTTTATTGTAAAGGAACAAGGAAAGGAACAAGCAAGAAAACAAGTAAAGTAAGGTTAGAAGGGACGTTTCATGCGGCGGTTATCAAAATCACAGGGAAACTGTTTAATGAATTGACGTAAAATTTAGGTCAGAGTTAAAAATCAGTTTATTAGGATTTTAATTTTTGTTTTTTTTTGTCTTTTTTTCAAATACAGTGGACACCGCTTAATGTGATCACTTTGGGACTCAGACAAATTGATCACACTAACCGGCTGATAATAATAAGCGAAAACCTCCAGTAGAGACAGTAAAACCTCGAAACAAAACAAAATCGTGAACAAGTAGTGTTTATTATGCTGTAGCTGAAGGTACATAAACGTTAGAATTTATTTTAAATTTTGGTTACCATTCTGAGAAAGGAACACTCGATTTCCCTTGGCTGAGAAATTTTTAAGGTAACTGCGACCTTACGCTGGTTCATCCATGATGGGAGCGATCATACTGTCTTAAGATCTCCAACTGCTTTGATAATATGCCAAGTGTTTAATCATACTGATAATAAGCTGAGATCTAGTCATTTCGAAGTGCTCATTTCTACATAAGTACTCTAACTTAAAACAGAAAAAATTCGTTCGTTCAAAAGACGAAAACGCACTGATTACGTAAAACTGTCACTGATTGTGGTTGTACAAAGTGAGTAGTATAAGAGAATGTACTTTTTGAAAGCAATGAATATTCATTAAAACACAATACCAGTTTCAGTCGTCTCACTTCTCCAAAAAAGCAATTCCCGTTTGTATAAGAATTACAAGATTGATCACAATAAGCGAAATATTGATCACAATAAACGGAAAAACTGTAATGCATTAGTATTGCGTGGGACCGTTCCAAGCCATTTTGATCACACTAAGCGGTTGATAACATTAACCGTGATCATATTAAGCGGCGTCTACTGTATTACAAAATTATCGACAATTAAAATTAATTTTGTTAAAAACTTTTCTATGACGTAGGTAGCTTTACACTCAGCATTAAACATATAATTTCAAAGAAAACATACGGATTCAATTCCGAGGATGACTCGATTACAAATTATGTTGGTTGCCCTATGTTTGACAGACGTTGAGGTTTCTTTCGTGCAATGGTTTGTACCAAGAGCAATAAAAAACACATGGATTTTTGAGAATTTGTCTTTAATAGAATTTTCGTCTCGTCTGAATTTGAGTTGAAAATGCAACGATCCAAGACAAACTTTCAAAAATCCATGGCCATCTTTTTTATTGTTCCCTCTGCGTGAGACCACCTTGCATTAGGTAGTGCTAGTGCTGTATGAACATAGGTATTAGTCAAAAATGGCGACCGTTTCATATTAAAAATTGCTTTGTACATTTTCCAAACATTTCAGAGTTTACAAAATTTCATTTTCATAAATACAGTTGTGTTCAATAAAAATGGAACTTAAATTTTTTGGCAATGTAAACTGACTTTTTTTATTTGTCATTCATTTGTCAAGTAGGCTTAACACATGCTTGTCATACCTCATTTTCTAACCTAAAATCTATAAAGCGTGGAAAAATGACTAAAAATAACAGATTTTTTTTTGACATTTTTCATTTCTATTGAACACAACCGTTCATAATATTGTGTCTAATGATCGAACTGAAGAAACGTTTTGAACTTTTTTCTTTCCAAAGTAAAAAGGATCTCCTCTCCGATCACAGGAAATCTAGTTTTTTACCGCAGTCTTCACTTTCATAAATTATAGTGAATTATTTTAAAGTGTTATTATAAATTCTTTAATTATATAGTTTGAACAAGGTACTGGTGTGAAGGTCTTATTTTTTGTTTTGTTACTGTTTGAAACATAATGTGCGAATGCACAATTATACTAAAATTGCTGAACAGATGCAGCGATCACGTGAAAGTTGCATGAACAGCCTGCGTTAAGGGCAACTTGTGTAAATGGGATACGCAATACCTATAGGGGGCATGTTCAAAATAATAATTATTTGTGAACTTGCCGCCATAGTGTAATCTTTTGTTAATGAATAATAACGTTGAAAAAGTGATTTAGTTAAAATAATGAAGAAAAAACAATGGTTAACCTGAATACACCACAACGAATATACAATCACGAGAAGTAACCAGACAACAATATTGTAAAACGGGCTTCAAGACAGTGGTTTCTAACTAACAATAACGGTAGGCTAGTTATTCATGCACTTTTATTACTGCATCCGTTTATCGATATCGTTACACTGACCTCCAAAAAAAACCGGCCACCCTGAAAAATTTCGCAAAACCAAACTTAAAAAATTATTAATCTAACTAGTGATCGTTATTTTATTAAATAACCATTCACTGCATTTGCTGTATAAATTAGCAAAAAAAAAGAAGACAAATAAACGCAGAATTAAATTTAATTTAACAAAATAACAGAAATTGAGCGACAATTTGAGAGATGACTGTAAGAGTTAACGGCATAACTGCCAAACTTATAATCAAATGATGAAAAACACTTTACAACAACAGCCTCCTTTATTGTTTTAATTAAGAAAATATCGTACTTGGTCTGTTTCTATTATTTTGTTAAATTAAACTTAATTCTGCCTTCATATGTCTTCTTTTTTTGCTCATTTATACAACATGTGTCAATGTTCTTTATTAAAATAACGATCACTAATTAAATTAATAATTTTTAGAGTGGTTTTGTGAAAAGCTTGGAAATAAGAATAAATTGGTTTTTCCGGAAATTACGACAACTTTTCTTTTCAAATAGAATGAAGTTTTTTAAGTGTGTTAATTGATGAATGGTACCATACACGATATGTAACATATTTGGTTTAATGTTTCAAAATTTTTTTCTTCTCATTTACTCATTGCACTTCAATTTCGCAGTTGTTAGGAAATATCTGGTGTCTGGATTAACTCCTCAGTACGTTATGTACGGGGGTTTCGGAAGTTCCAAAAGAATAATAAAAACATTCTTTATGATGTAGATTACGAAAAAAACGTAATTTTATAAAAGTAAAATTGGCAACACTGCACGCACCTAATGCGTGAATACCTCCGGCTTACTTTCTGATTTCTTAGTAACGATGGTGACTGAAATCCACCTTTTATTTTTTTTTAGGACAACCATAACAACCAGTAGTCATTAATCGTTCTGCATTATTATTAATAAAACAAGCTGTTATTTTTCATTAATAAATAAACCAAAAAAAAACATTTAATAAGACATTTATAATTTCATTACACAAAAACAAAAACAACAAAAGAAAAATCCATTAAAACATAACCATTTAAACACTAGAGATGTTCAAAATTCCACTCTTGTGCATATAAGTAAACTCGTTATGTTTCCAAATTTTGATCATTTTTTTTAAGTAAGTCATCAGTGCTTGCTAAGATAAAATTGATTTTGGCAAATAATATACCTTCTTTAAAAAGCCACGGTGGGTAGGCCGGGCTAGTATCTGCTACGATAAGACTGATTTTGGCAAATGAGATACCCTCTAAGAAAAGAGAGGGCGGGTGGGCGGGGCCAGTACCTGTTGAGATAAAATTGATTTTGACAAATGACATACCCTCTAAGGAAAAAGGAGGTGGGTGGGCGGGGCTAGTATTTGCTAAGATAAGACTGATTTTTGCAAATGACGTATCCTGTGAGAAATTTAATTAAATTATTATGAGAAAAGACAGTAGAGGCTCCACAGCACTTTGACATTCTTTCCAACCAGGAATACGTAGAACCTCAAGATTGTTTTAAATTAAAAAAAAAGAAATGGGTCCCAAAATTAACTCAAGAACAGGTCAGGTCAGAATTTTCCAAAAATAGAACACTAAAGTCCCCTAAAATTGTTTTAAATAATTTACAAATGAATCTCCATGGACCCCTAGAATAATACATCCAAACACTGCGGCACTCAAGACTTTTTCAGATTCGTAAAATGTAAACACTAAAAGCTCAAAAGATTTTCATCCAACGACAAAACACCAGATTCTTTTAAATTTATCCGAAAATAAAACACCAGGGGACCTAGAATTAACTACGAACATTGTAACCGTAGGGTTTTGAAAACTTTGACAATTTTTGACACGTCAAATATTTTTAACTGCTTACTCGATTTTTGCTGGTTTATACCTTTGATTTATATCAGGATCAATGTATCAGGCAAACATTGTTGTCAAATGGAATTTTATCAAATTATTACAAAAACAACACAAGCATATCTTCTAACTGACATGGTAATTAAACATGGTCATAAAACTAAAAGTTTTATTACTAGTTATTGTGATAATGTTATTTAGTTGTTAAAAGTAGCAAAAGAACCAATTTTAAAATCATTATAACTCCACCAAAATGCGAGAAGGATTTTTTTTTACTATTTTTCCCGGACTCACTAGTTGATTGAAAAGAGCGTAACGGAATTTTCGGCCATTTTCCAGACACCCGGTATAGATTTCTGAGAAATTTTAATGAAAAATTAATACAAAGAAAAAATGGTATACAATTAATATATGTAGTTTTAAGCGTTATATTTACCTTTTTTTTTTGAACGCTTTTTAATAGGTGTTTCAAACAGTATATTTTTCTTTTTTTCAGTGATATAACATTTCACTTGAGTGCCACAATTGTTATTTATACAATCTTTTACCATGACAAGAAAAATTTGTCGCTCGAGCCCAAGCCAGTGTGTAAATCCGCCGAGTAAAAAAACGTAGCTTTTCCGATAACTTCGAAAGCTGTCAAATGTCAATTCATCAGTCATACGTGAGGTTATATAACTGAACGGAGCTTGAGATTTGGTTCAGTTGAGTATTTAATCATGGGTTAACTTATCATCAAATGTGCTAAGTTGAAATCAGACGCTATTAAAGTGTGTTCAAAATTTGGCATCGTTCATTGATAGTGATGAATGATGATAATACAAACATGCAACAAGCCAGAATTTAAAGTTGGCGGTCATGACATCCACATGACGTCACACAAAATGTCCGATATCATACTATGGCTTTACTCACGAATTGCATACAAAACTCTTCACATTCGTAATACAAATCAAGAACTTCTACCTACCTCTCTCAGTAAAACTGCGGACTTGTTTTTCAGCTTTCCAATTCATAAATAAGTCGTATTCTTTAAAATATTGGCCCTTGGATTTTTCTCACAATAGATTCAATGTAGTCGTAGCGGCAGTCTTGACAATTTCTTCAGGGGTGCAGCAGAATTGTAATCGCTGTCCGATTCCATTCTTCGAACACACAAATTACCACAAAACAACGAGAAAACTAATAAAGAGCCCTCAAATAAAAACTAAATTGCAAAATTTTGCGATGGGTTCTAATTTATGAAAAATGTGTTGATTAATCGTCATAGCAACGGCAACCAGCCTCCTATGTTTTGTGCTTAAATATTTTGCGTTAAAAGTTAACATGCTACGACTCATTTTTCCTTTTAAATTCGGAAAAGGAAGAAACGCTATGGCATTTATTTTTTTACGCTTTTTAAGTATTTAAAACAATATAATTTTGTTTTTTCAGTTATGTAACATTTCACTTGAGTGCTGTATTATGCTACTTTTTTTCATGACAAGGAAAATTTGTCTCGCAAGCCAAAACGAGTGCGCAATTCCGCCGAGTAAAAAAGACGTAGGTACCTACCTCAAAAACAGTCTCTTTTAGTAAAACTGCAGACTTGTTTTTCAACTTTCCAACTTTCCAACTCATAAATAATAAGTCCTATTCTTTTGAATGTAGGCCATTGGATTTTTCTGGAAATACATTCAATGTTGCCGTAGCTGAAGTCTTGAAGTTTTAATCGCTGTCCGATTCCATTGTTCGAACACACAGATTATCACAAAACATCGAGAAAACTAATAAAAAGCACTCAAATAAAAACTAAATTGCAAAATTTTTCGATGCGTTCTAATTTGTGAAAAATGTGTTGATTAATTGTCATAGCAACGGCAAGCAGCCTTCTATGTTTTGTGCTTAAATATTTTCCGTTAAAAGTTCACGCTATTACGTGAAAAAAAAACTTAAATAAGAATTCCCGTTTAAATTGTTTCATAAAAATAGGGACCAATAATTTGATTCCCGAAGATCCTATATCGAACGTTTGTGGATTGGACATTTTACAAATTCATTATTTGATAATTTATAATCTAGGATATCTCTGAAAATGTATTTTGGGTTGCATATGTTCGGCTTGGTTAGGGTTACTGCTCATGAATCACCCTGTGAAGAAAGGATATTTGAAAAAATTGTATTAATTGTGTTACCATGACACAACAAAAAAATATTTCTTTAAAAAGTAAATTCTATTTAACGTAACATATCTTCAATTTTCACGTAATATTAAAATTCAAGAAAAAATGATATCTTTAACTTTCTTTTTCAGTTTTATTTGTCCCTATATGGTCACAAATTACCCGTGCTGTGTATGGATATCTCGTCGGATTCTACTCTCATAGCTACAGGATCTGCAGACCGCAATGTTAAAATATGGGGAATGGATTTCGGAGACTGTCACAGAAGCCTCTTCGCCCACGACGATTCTGTCACCGGCTTACAGTTTGTCCCCCGAACACATTACTTTTTCACATGCGGTAAAGACGGAAAAGTTAAACAATGGGATGGCGATACATATGATAAAATAATCACGCTTCAAGTAAGTTAATCAGCACTAGTAACTCAACAAGCATTGTCATTAACCATCTTAGGGGCACGCTGGTGAAGCATGGTCACTCTCCGTCAGCCCCAGTGGCCAGTTTGTTGTATCGTGCGGTGCTGACCGCGTTCTAAGACTCTACGAAAAATCAGAACAACCACTGGTATTGCAAGATGAACAAGAAGAAGAAAGAGAGCAACAGGAAACGCTCGCTACTGGAGAGCAGACTGTTATTCCAGGTCAAACTAGTTTGAATTTACCTTCAAAGAAAACAGTTGGGAGTGAAAAAGCAGTAAGTAGGTATTATCAGTATTCATTTAAATAATTACACGTACATTGTTCTGTAAGGCTGAAAGCATACTGGAGTCTCTCGAAATTTGCGAAAAATATAAAGAACAGTTGGCGGAACATGAAGCCCTTCAAGCTGCGTCGACGCAGACTTTGCCCTTGCCTCAACCACCTTTGCTGATGCAGGCTTTAAACGTTTCTACGCCAGATGATTTCCTTTTAGAAACCATTAGAAGGATACGTCCAAGGTTGTTAATTGTTTTTTTGCTTGTTAACGAAAGTGTAGCTAACGTTACTGTCGTACCTTTTTTTTAGTGATTTAGAGGAAGCGCTACTTTTATTACCACTCAATTCAGTATGTGAAGTTTTGCAAATTCTACCTGCTTTAATTGCGAGAGGCGACCAGATCGAGTTGATGTGTAAAATTTGTGTATTTTTACTGAAGCTACATCACGCACCAGTAGTAGCTAATCATACGTTACTAGTTACTCTGCAACAGTTACAGAAATTAGCTTTTAGTAAAGTGCAAGAATTACGAGTAAGTAACAAATGAGTGGATTCTTCGTTTTTGAGGTATAATTCTAGGATATGGTTGGATATAATCTGTATGGAATGCAATTTATGCAGAGAGAGATTGAAGCAGCTGAAGGTGTCCAGATGTTTAGAGACGCGACTGTAGAAAAAAAGAAGGGAGACAAGAAAAGAAAACAACGAGAAAAGTTGAAGAGATCGATGATCGTTTTAAATAGTTAGTTGTGGTGGAAAATACGCTTCTGGTTGTAAATACTTTGTTGCGAAAGAAATGAAAAATTTAGTACCATAATATTTTTTTATTACTGTTTTTAAGTTCATTACATATGTGAAAATAAACAAATCAGTATTCTAACATTTTTTTCAAAATTATATACAATTATTTAGACAAGAATTAAAAAATGAGGCCAAATTAAAACTACACTGCAAGTCAGTGTAGGAAGATGAACGTTTACAAAAAGAAAAAAATTAATATATTAACGATATTAATACTTGAAGTTTGATATATTCTGTACAGCTCAAATAAAACGTATCAATATAAAAAAGCATAAATAATAATATCATGAACAAACAAAATGGTAAAGCGATTGTGTCATTTGGGCTGCACAAAAGATACACTTGGGCTTTGGTTTGGGGACGTAAATTAATAAATTTACGACATTAACAACTGGCAAACAGATATTTGGCCTAATACCAAAATCACAAATATCACTAGAGGCGTTAAATAAATAGTTATACAATATGTTAGAATACTCTAATAATTTAAAATAATACAATAGGGTAAAAGATATTTGTAGTTTTGGTATGGGAACTCGGTCTTCTAAAATAATACAAAAGTTTATTTACTTTAATAAGTTAGGAACCAAGTGCTTATAATAAATATTTAAATTACTAAATTACATTTATTATTATTGCCAATAATTCCGAATGGCCGACCATTCGTTATTGGAATAAAGTTACTGTATATCTACATTTATACAACAGAAAATTCGATTCGTTTATCGGTGTTGTAAATTATTGATAGCGTGTACGTAAAAAGTTACGAAAATATTTATTTTGTAAGTTCAGACATTTAGTGTATCTAGGAAATTATTGCTACGCTGCCTGACTTGAACTCATCACATCCTACTCAGATCTGACCAACATACTTATCAGTAGTATCTTATACACATCTATCAATAAATCAGTTATAAAAAATTACTCATTAAATCAACAATTTAACAATAACAACGTTTGTTAGCGAGGTTTTGAATAAACGAATACATCCGGGAATGTAATATTTCAACAAACTAAAAAAAAAGGATAATAATTTAAAACCATTCAATCTGCACAAATAGTTCATACATAACTGTGTATTATACAATTTGTTTCATTAAAATACCTCAGGGAGGTACCTATATACATATATTTCATTTAAATAACTTAATAACTTAAAGTTCAGACTTACATATATCAGACTTGCTGTACAAATACACTGTTTAATACAGTTCTGCCACTGCGAGAATGCAAAGTCATAGCTAGCAAAGATCGTTAAACAATGCAAAAAGTTGCATTCTGCGTTATTTGTAGAGACTACAGACAATCGAACGGACCAGATTCAAATCGAACGAACAGTAACGAATTTGCGAAATGTTAAGATTAATTAACATCAACATTATTAAACCGTAAATTGCTGCCAAAGTATTGACATTCGAGTTGCAGAGATAAGCTGCACGATGTGAGATTAAAAAATGAAAAAAATAGTTAACATAGCAAAGCTGCATATAACAAGTGCTACTCACTTCTGTATTAACTTTTTTTTATACAAGGCATAGATTTAGTCCGTGACTTTCTCATAATTATTCTATAACACAATTAAAGCCGACATCACTGTTAATTTGAATAGCAGTTTGCTAGCTATGCACTACACACGTCGCGATTGATCGGATGCGTGTACGGCTGTGACCTCATCACGTTCCAGCCGATCTCCTTCGAGTCGCCCGCCTCCTGAACCGCCGCCGGGATGTCAGCCGGCGGAATCGTTCGCCACCGGGTGCCGAACGTCGGCGTGTTTAAGGGGGCGTTGTGCCCGTCCACGCAGTCCGACCCTGCACGGGCCATTTTACTGTAACGTTTATACTGAAGATACACAACGACGCACACTATCACCACTAAAAAAACTGCTATCGTTGCCCCACCGGCTATACTCGCTGTCTCCAACATGAACCTTCGTTGTGACGCTGAAAATATTTTCGAAATTAGTTACATAAAACATTTCGGTGGCTAATAACTAAATTTTGCAAAACAATAAGAATACCGTCAAATGGCGATGTTTTAAGAAAACAATTTCGATGTTTGTGCTAATTGTTTATATTGCAAAAAATTGAAGAAATTATTTGATACAATGAAAATTCATACCCATAAGTGTCAAAGTCAGGTCACTCAGCCAGGGGTGATTTGACATGCTTGACTTTACTTTTGGTATTTTCAAAACTTACAGTTCTACTAGTTACATCACATAGAAATTTCTAATTGTGCGTAGTTTTTTCACTTGTCTGCAATTTGGAAAAATATAAAAAAAGTAGCTATTATTTTAATCTGTTTATGAAAGGCAATTTAATTTTAAAGGCTGCATTACTTTTTTTTCAAATCAGAGACTGTTTTACTATTTCGTCAGATTTTGAAATAAGCTGTATTGTGATGTTAATATTGTTTTGATTTATCGGTATATTTATGCCTTCCGCACAGCAGCACCCTAATAGGGTCAGTTTGATAAATGACCATGTATTTTCATGTTTTCTTGGCGTTTCTCAGTTTATAGATTGTTATCTATCTTCCTCCTGTGAACACAGAAATTCCCAATTCAGTAGACCGATCTGTTTAAAATTTTAAAAGTACTTTATGATTATCTTGAAGATTCTAAAGCCCTAAACAAAATTTCGTTTATCCCCATCAAAAATTTGATGACGTCATCTCAAAATTTTTACACATCCATTCTTTACCTATGGGTAAATAATCAGTCTCTACTTAATTAACTTTCCTCATACAGGCTATTCGCAAAAACCTTCTACATTATTACCACTTACTAAGACTTCTTTGAAATTTTCACTCTAGACATCCAGCTTTTGGAAAAAATTAAAAATTCTGTAACAATATTTTGCAGTTTAACTTTGAAGCTGCAAAACCGGATGCTCTAAAATCTTGTAAATATTTTAAAAAAGGTCATCGTAATCATGGTAAATCGTTAAGCAAAATTTATCCGTTTATCCCCTCCCAAAAAATTAATGACGTTATCTCAAAATTGTGCCCAATAAAATATTATATGCAAAATATTATTACTGTATACTTGTGACGCACTCACAGATTTTAGAATTACTTATACAGAATGGCTCACAAAATTAAAGAGTCAATTTATTTGATTGATTAAATTAGGAACTGCACAACTGATTGCTTTGAAATCTTGCAGAGGTTTTAAACTTATCGTAAGCAAGGTAATTTTTAATGAATATGTATCTGTTTATCCCCCTCACAAAATTGATGACGTCATCTCAAGATTTTGCCGAATAAATCCTATCCAAAGTGTGCAAAATATGATGAGTCTGTACTTATGATTTATCACTGCTTTAAAAGTTTGTAAACTGCTTACACAGGATGATTCATAAAAATTAATAAATGAGTCAATTTATTTTATTGATTAAATCGGGAACGATTCACTCCATTTCTCCCGAAAATTTGGGAATGCAATACTGTTACCATAGGTATTATACTCCACCTATCCAAAGTGATATACGTGTCTTTGCAAAAATGTTGATGACGTCATCACCATTTTTTTTTCTTTAACGTTACATATACATCTTTGTTTTAACTTATAAGGGTTCGCATAATTAAATTTTATAATTTTTCGAAAAAGTTCGATTTGTTTTATTGTACTTCAGGGTCGAGGGAAGTTCTGTCGAAATAACTTTCGATTAATTTTTGTACATATTTGGGATTTATCTTAACAAAACCCAACAGACTAAACTTTTATCACATTACAGAAGACAAAAATATTTGAAACTAAAAAAATTGTCAAAGAGTCGTTTTACACGTCACAGAATTACTCCGAAAATTACTACCAAAATAAATTTTAGAAATTTTGTAAGAAGAATATTCTACATTTTGATGGTAAACTGCGCAAAAAGTTGCGCAGGCCTTCAAAATTTGTTGACGTTTTGAATGTGTGAGAGTTTCTTGCGTACTTTACCATTAAAATCTAGAATATTTTTTTTTTTTGCAAAACTTTTAACATTAATTTTGGTAGTGGCCGTGTAAATTGGCTCTAATGTTACTTAGACCGAACTTCCCTCGCCCCTGACCCACAATCAAACAAATCTAGTTTCTAAAACACAAAATTATTAAATCCGATTCTGTAAATTTGAAGTTTTATGATAATTCTTGTAAGTTAAACTAAAAATACGATGCGTATGTTTCAAGCGAATTTTCTTAATACAATTTTCCCATGACGTCATCAAGTTTTTTGAAGGGATAAACAGATCTTGATTAGCAATTTACCATTTCTGCGTAACTCTAAAGACTTTGCAAGATTTCAAGAGAAGTTGCTTTTGTAATTTCCAGGTTATAATATATTGCTGTAACCTCTTTAATTTTTTCCGAAAATCTGGATGTCCAAATTCAAAAATACGGGCGGATCGATAAACTAGAACTATTATTTTATACAACTGGTATAGAATATATCTATCAAAATTCTGAGATGATTTCATCAATTTTTCAATTAGCCTTTTACCATTTACATATAGGGTGTTTCTTTTATTTGATACAACCCCTGTAGCTTTTTTATTCTTAAAGATAAACCTGTAGTTCTTTTAGCAATTTGTAACATTTTAAACAATCTCATATTTTTATTACCACTTCTGGTAGAACCGGAAATGACAACTTTATTTTTTTTTTTGGTACACTAGGTATAAAATAAATCATAAATGGAAAGCAACCAATATTCTAAAATCATACGTAAAAAGTTATTCAATAAAATACACGAAAAATTCATATTTATTAATGACAATCTAGTCTCTTCTTGAAAAATCGACACTCATGTCATTTATTCACATAGTGATCTTTTAAAATTATACAAATTTGCTCAAAGAACTATATGTTTATCTTTAAAAACAAAAAAGGTACAGAGGTTGTATCAAATAACAGAGACAAAATGGACCGACAATTTCGCGACAATTACTTTAGTATAACTTCGGAGATTATCTATCTATTAAAATCACCACACAGACAGAAACGGGGTACCTACTGTTTTATAATATGGCATGGGAGCTACGAAATGTCGAGAAAACATGAAATTAGCTATTCGCCAAATACACCCTGTTACAGTACTTTCCTAGCTTACGCTCGGTAAGTAAAAATCCACAATTTGCATCAATTAATTATTAATAGAGACAGAAAAAAAGTCACAGACAAAAGTTATACGGCTCTTTCAGAAGCATGCATTAAAATTATTTTCGATTATACAGAGTGTTTTGTTTTCCAAGCATCACACACAACTCACTTTTTTTAAATACATTATCATATATATTTTTATTAGTCTCTCTTACTTTTTTCTGAAAACTTTACTTTACAAAATTATAATAACGTTATTTTTAAAACTTATGTTCCAATTTTTTAAGGGGGGATAAGCAGAGGTACGTACAAACAAAATAAAATACAAGTTGTTTACATATCGTATTTGAAAACTTATAATTCAATTTTTTATAAACACTCCGAATATTAAAACCCAATTTTATACCACAATAAAACGCGTATCTTTATTTATCTCTCCATAAAATATTGTGACACAGATTAAAAATACATATCTCTATTGCGATTTTTTGTGAACCCTTCCATTGCTAAAAACCTTCAAGGAAATTGAAATAACTTGGGAATTTCGAAGATAAACAATGGTTATAAAGCCTAGAAGAGGTCAATCAGAATATATAAAAATATAAGGACATTCAAAAACTACATTATGTTACGCATTAAAAACAAAACACTCCGTATAGTTGGACATAATTTTACTATGTGGTCGTCACTCTGTTTAATTTTTGTACTTTCGTTATTTTATAGTTTTTATAATATTAGAAACTAGTTTTCAAAAATTAACGGTTTTTATAGAACTGTAAAGGCTATCCTAGAGTGTTTAATTTATTTTCTTTTTGAGTAATTCATAATTCTATAAAAATAATGCAAACATTGCTTAAAAAGTATCAGGAAATAAAAAAAATCACGTAATCTTACGCTTGGGTATTATACATATCACCATTTGACGGTAGCGACATTCTCAATTAGCTAACTCTTATCTAAAGCGTTTTTTAGCAATTGTTAATTTATTGCCCCATACACCATTTGTTACGGCGTGATATTCTAAAAGTTCATAAATTTGAGTTTCCATTTGCAATCAACTTAAACCACATTCCGGAAACTGATAACCAATAATTAAATTTTTAAAAAGTGTGTAATTACTAGAATTGCTGATTCCGATTAGATAGTTTACCCAGTAATTTCACTTTTACATTCTCAGTGCAAAATTTTCTTCTTTCATGCGATGGAAAATCGCGATTATAGTTTCCTTAAAAATGAAATTGTATGCAATTGTGTAATGTCATTGACACTAATTAACGTAATGCACACATTATGCCGAAATAGTGTGCACCAAATTCGACAAAAAGCAAGTGTGTATTTTGTACTCACTTCTATTTGAAGATCTTTCATACTTTACAAATCCACCAATACTGCAATTTATTATGAGATTATTAAGTTACGATTTGCTGTGAAGCACTTGTTAGTGCTAAAAGTGATAAGAATTTCAATTAATTATAAACCTCTAAGACGACTTTGTAGTGTAATGTAGCGTAATGTCAAAAGTTTGTTGTCCCACGGCTCCCACCCACTGTTAAAGTTAATCATGTTTTTGACAAGTTTGCCTCAAGTAACAACAATTAAACTATTAGACTAACATGATTGTCCTTAAAAAGCTTTTTTTGTCGAATTTGTTGCAATTTTTTTACTTAGTTACGATGTATGAGCAATTTATGAACTGTGGAAACATTGTAAGTACTACCCTATAAACCAAAAGCTGCATTTTGCAAATCTATATGCAAAGAAACATTCTTCTGTAATTAAACCAAGTTAATCTGTATTAGCCACACCAACATTTATTGGTTAATACTTGTTAGGGGGGGAAGGTTGGGATACTTACGCAAATACGAACCGTCTAAATCTTTATATTCACATCTAGGACCCATAAAACCTTCTGCACACCTGCAACCAAAACGAAACTAATTAAAACCACTAATCATTAAAATTAAAGCAGTTTTTAATGGGTGTTCTGCTTTCACTGAAAAACATAATTTTAATAAATACTCATTTGATAAGTTTTTACGATTATTACGGTACAGAACAGCGTTAATTAAATTATTATAAATAAGTATAATGAACTACTAAATGAACTTGGGAAAACGCGGTATAAACGTTTGTGAAATGCTACCGCAGAAGCTACAAATAATATTAGCCTTAGTGAGTGACTTATGAACCACGTATTTAAGACCTACGGGACCTTAAAACATGCGATGGAATTTGTTACAAAAGGTACAAATAATTTTGACAAGACATGTCCCAGAATAAACTTAATCACTTGTATTTCTATAATTAAAATTGCGCAAATTAAATATTTTGATATGCAATAGAAAATATTCCGATCAATTCTAGGTTGCAACAGCTTAAGCACTAGTAAAAATAGTGTATACAAAAGATAAGATAATCCGGCACACCAGGAACTCCCTAGTGAAATACAGTTATTTAAACATTAAGGACGAAGCTAACTAAGTCAAAGTTTATACTAAAATTAATTCATTTTCTCATAACGTTTTGATGCTAATTAACAATATTAGTGCTACGTTTCTATCATCTATTTATATAGATTACAGATTGTATAGATATACTATTATTAGTTGATTGATATGAAATATTTAGATCCGGTTTATAGAAGCACTTAATCAGGCCATTAATTTAACCACGCAGTTAACTGATCACTTAACGTGATAAGATTGAACCAATCAAATGACTAGATTGCCGATTAATTGCACATTTCATTTTAATCAAATTAAATACGTATTTAATACAGCTCTTAATTTATTAATTTATAATTTAAAACGTTTAAAAATTCCCACTGTTAAAATATCTACTTTCATGAAACATTAAGACGGATCTACATTCAAACAGGTAAACTAAAAAAAATCATGACGCATATGTAGTGAACCCAAAGCGCGTGTAAGCCGGGACCGAATTCAAACAGATAAAATATTACCTGACCGGTTTGGGACCCAATTTGGCAAGTGTGGTTCAGCTACTATATAATGTATTTTTTGAATTTAAACAGAAAAAAGGTTACTAATGTGTCATGTGCATATGACACAATTTACAAGAACAAACTTGTAACTTAACCGCCTAATTTTAGCCTAATACGAGATTATGTGTGTCGTTCTGCAACCGCTTACACAACAAACGTCAAGATTCGCTGTTAAAATACGATGTTATGCAAGTTACCTTGCGTAATAAATCAAGGTCTGGTTTATTCATATATGGTTAAAAAATATATAACAACTTTTGTAAGACGAATAAAACGGAGATCTAATAAGTATGAACTCGTGTTTTACGTATACTTCCTGTTTTGAAATAGAGATCACTTGGCCTATATTCCCTGTTTCAGTACTGGAACTATACCTATTAGCTGTAGCAAATTCAAAAACCACAAGTTGACGTTAAAAAATCTTTCAATTTAGAAGCATTTGAATCATTCGCATTGCAACTTTCCGGAATAGTTTAGCTGAGATTCTAACCCACGTAGAACCTTCGATTTTGCGTTACCAAACACGTCATGCTTTGCTCACTCTAAGAAAAAGATCCCGTAATACATAAACTATATAGTTAGAATACGACTAATAATGTGCACTTAATCTATTTTTACGACTTCCATAGAAAAAACTCACAAATTGCAGCAGTTATCGATCAACTAGTTACAATTGTGTTAACAATGTAATGTGCGTGATGAAATTTTAATAATATCCGTACTCAAGTAATTGCTATCGCTTCTGGATAAGAATCAATAACAACAATTTGAGAAATTTATAGATAATGATGATACATTACACAGAAAACTTTAGTGGACGTAGTGAAATAGTTGCAAATTACCGAACTATTTTTTCTCATCATAATTTATGGCGTTTTGTTTCATAGTGGATCCCAACGAGATCGTCACAGCTGGCATACTAGCTGGTATACATGTTGGTGTTTTTTTTTCATTTCCCACTCAGAATCTCGTAAACGGTAGGAGATATGAATTTATTTAAATTAGAACGAACTTGAACTAATTTAAGGCGATTAATAAACCACACGCTTTTTTAAAATTTTGAGGACTTTCATAATTATCCTGACAAATTCCAATTTGTCTTTTACGAAATTTTAAATATCTATTTATTTTCCAAGCAGTAAATTTCGTAATTAGCACCAAGATGCTAAACCTAAGTAATAAACACAGATTTTGTATTTACAATTACAGTTAAACCATCCTGAATGAACACTATTTTTTCTATTTTCTTACTTACGTTTTTGAAAAGGGAAAATTGTGTATGTTTTAGTGTGCTATTTGCTTTGTTTATTTATGTATCTAATTGTTTGGTTGCTTTAGCACAGCAGAGATTATTACGTCAACTTATTTTACATTTGAAATAAAAATTTATAACTGACAACACGTCCCTATACCAGGTGTTTCTTTTATTTGATCCAACCCCTCTAACTTTTTTATTTTTAAAGATAAACATATAGTTCTTTGAGCAAATTTGTATCATTTTAAAAGATAACTTATGTGAATAAATGACATGAGTGTCAATTTTTCAAGCTACTAGATTGTCATCAATAAATATGAATTTTTCGTCTATTTTATTGAATAACTTTTTAAAAATGAATCTTTCCATTTATGAAAAATATACCAAGTATTCCATAAAAAAAAATAAGTCATTTCCGGTTTTTGCTCAAAGAACTACAGATTTTTCTTTAAGAATAAAAAAGTTACAGGGGTTGAATCAAGTAAAAGAAACACCCTATACATAAAAAATAAGTCAATTTGTGCGATGCATAAATGCACCAAGTATGTTATGTATCTCTTTACTGTCTCCAAAAATACATATTTATAAATCTATAAAATATTGTACAAGTAAAATAATTTACACATTGATTTTCAATGACTTCATAACAATTTTTGAGCAAGTCTACTGCTCTTTAACACTCCTACGCCTTGTAGGTATTTAATTTTCTTTATCTTACGCTTAATCTATTCTCTTTCGCTTGTAGCAACAAAAGAGATTTTTTATTTTCCTTTTAAATGAGGCCAGTAATTACTTCAGAAATGCTGTTAAGGCTGTTGTAACGCTGAAGTGAATACGGAAAAAACTGTTACTCTTACAATCTTTATCAAGAGTGTTTAGTGACACCGAACAAAAAACAATTTGTGTCTGCGCATGGTGAGTCAGCTAAAAGGGGATTTTTCTCAGTTTTATAGTAAAATAAAAATTCATATAAATTAAAAAAAAATGTGATGACTTTTTTATATTATTTTGCTTTCTATCAATTTTTTCATTTTAATGAAATGATGAGTAGAATATGATATGAATAGAACTCATTCGTTTCTATTATAAACTAAATTCCGTTAACATAGGTTCGTAAATAAAAAAGCTATTCGAGATGTCCCCTTGTAACAAACTCACCCTGTATAATATTATTTTTGTAAAACCAACACGGTCATCTATAAATTACGTCACGTTGGTGGGTGGGGGGTATACAAAGTGTGACAGGAAGAGGTGCATGGGAGACAAACAAAACTTTTGTGATGTCACTAACATATCAATGTGAATATACAGTGTGGATACTAAGTACTCGTGGAATAAATTCAGTACTTAAAAAATATATTTGTCGAAAATGCTAAAACAGGTAAATTTTTAGTTCTAACTTCGCTCTTCTTAAGTTTCTTGTTCATAATGTCATCTACTTTTGAGTTATGACGTCATTATGTATTTTTTTAATAAAATGTTATATTCTTTGTTACTTATAGAAAGTACCTTTAAAGACCTATTTAAGGAACTTACACTATTTACCTGTATTTCAAGAGCTCTTGAGAATATTATATTTTTATGCTCCATTCAATTGGTTTACATAATTTCAAAAAACGTTAAAAATATGTCAAAAGTAGATGATTATTTCTTGATAAAACCAAAATTGGACTAATTAAATTTTCTTTATTATTTAAGAACACACGTTCGTGCGATGTGTATATACATAGAATATTTTTTCTTTAGCTAAAATATGTAACTATTTAAAAAACTATTGAAAATACAGGTATGATATGTAGGATCAAAAAATAACAAAAATATATAATTTTACTAAAAAATAAAGATTATGGCGTCACAGCTCAAAAGTGGATTACGTCATGAATAAGTGAAGAAACTTTTTTAAACTAATACAAAAATAATTTGTGGTAAAGAAACAGTCAGTTTTTCTTTGGCCGGCGTGATTTCCTTTCAGCGTAACAACAGCCTTAAACAATTATAACTGATTCTGTAGTGCTTAACGCTAGTCCCTATGTCTTTCTGTTGTGGAGAGTTCAACACATTTTCAGAAGTAATATAAGTAATATCTCTTGTTATGAAATTTTAAATGTAACTTTTTCACTTTACGTGAAGGCAGTTTTTTTCAAAACAGTTTAGCATCATTATTTTTTTAATTTTGGTGAAATTTTTCATTAGGTAGGTACGTATTTTTAAAAATCAGTATCTGTTATTTATGAAAATTTCGGAATGCGGTTTTCGCCACAGTTTTCAGCTTACAAGATTCTAGACATTACTAAAGAAATGTTATCCACTTTTCTGTGCAGAAAAAATTTCTTTTTGAAAATTTCATAACAATAAGTCTGTTAATACAGGAGACACATTACACTCTGAAAATGTATTGAAAATCCCATGCGCCAAACGTATAGACTTCTCTTAAATATTTTTTTTGTCTACTTTTCGTTTTCACTGTTCACTTAGTCTCAAGTTTTTGTTTTTATTTATTTTTACCTTGTAAAATCTTATACGGTAATAGCAAGTGAACATAAATTTCAACGTTAACCTTCAAATAATATACATCATATCCTGCTATACTTACATCATCGATTAGCTACCGGTTATAGTTAATAGGTTTGAGAAAATACTAAACTACACTAAGAATATTTCAATTTGTATTCTTCGCTACCTTTTTATTTGGAAAAAATAATAATCAGAATTAAAATTGTAGGTATATTTTTGTTTGCAGATCTTTGGTATCATTGCTGACATATATTTTTTATGTTGTTACTTCATTTTTATATCATTTATACAATTTTGTGGTTTTAAATGAAAATTTCAATCACTGTCATTGATCAATCAAATAAAGATAATAAAAAACAAGATTTTACTATCAGTGTAAATAAATGTAATAAAAATAAATTTACAATTTTCAGCTTATCTTAATACAGGGATTACGAAAAAGAAATTAGTCAAAGGTGGACATGCACGAAATGCGGTTTGTCTTAGTTTAAAATAATTTTTTATGAAACGTCACCTTGACAAAAGGTTGACAAAAGTAATTTGCAATGTTATCAAACGAAATTAAAGTTTTTTTATTAGAATCTTACTTCAGAAATGGGACAAAATTGGAAAACGATGATTTTGATTAATTTTTAAAAAGGTGTCATAATTCTAATTTTAAATTGTCAATTTGACATTTAATAAAAAAATTTAAATTACGACAAACGGCTTGTTGTGTATAGTTAACTTTGACTAATTTCTTTTTCGATCTCGCGGTGGTATTACGGAACACAATAATTTTCAAATTTTCATTCTAGGTTTGATTTGCAGAAATTATGGCATCGAAATAAAAACTGTATAACACGATAAAAAATTAAGTTTAAAAAGCCACGGAAACTTTTTGATATTTGTCCAATAAAATGCTTACAAAATAACACATAAAAAAATAAAAAAATCGAAAATTCTTATTGATTTGAATTTTGAGAAAAATCTCAAAAAAATCCAAAAAATCTAAGCCACGTGGTACAATGGCTACAAAAACGTTGCTCTGTGCTTCTAAACCAATGTTTTTCAGATGAAACCACAACCATACATCGCTGTATTATTAAATCGAACGTTCATTTCTTGCATAATCAACGATGCATCATCGGTCAGAGTACTCATTTCATTCACACTTTTATGAATTATACATATCGTAAACCGCATGAATGAGTGGCGAATCGGAAACAATAATTTTTGCTTACTTACTCGCAATTGTATAGGAGGGAATCGCCAATTTTGACGGTAAAGCACGTTGCTCCGTTAAGGCAGTACCAGGCCGCGTACGCCGGCGGACATTCGTACGTGTGGAATGTGATGTTCGGCCGTGCAGTGGGTGCTGGAGGCCTCGGTTTCGGCGTGGTGCGTGACGAACACGCATCTGCAACAGAAACAATACAATGCAAATAAATAACTCATTGCATGGAAATTTTAATAAGGTGCTTGATAGGTACGCATCGTCTTTTATTAGTACTTTGTGTCAGAGATAAATACCGACAAAGGGGCAAGTTCTTTACCGCTACAAGAGTTTGAAGATCCGGATGCAGTATGTTTATTTACGGATTGACTTGACTTTGTCTAAAATAACAATTTAGTATTTGCCATTAACAGTTAGCTATTTTACAAGTGGGAAAAAACCACGAGCGTGAAGTTTGTTCACAACGAGGCGTAAGTCGAGGTGTATATTAACACGAGTATGCTAATAGTTTGTATTAGAAAATGTATGCAGGAATATAAATTTAAATTATCTTACATCACTATTTATAATGAAAATAATTGCCGAATAAAAGGTAAGACGGTTGGCCAACAGTAACAACATTTTGTGCCATTTATTTGGGTCAACTTCAATCTTAAAGCCGATTGTTTTTTGTTACGTGGACAAGCATTGAAATAATGAAGCGCAGAAAATTAATTTACCTAACTTTTCGACAATATTGTCAAAGAACCAAAAAAAAATGTCCGTTTACCCAACAGATGGAGTGATCCCGTGCGATTCACGTGCCAAGAAAGCGTCCACACTTATACGATAACACCAAAACCGAATTATATTGTCATTGAGGATATTTTTATCGCTTAACAAATTTTAAATTTTTAAACTAGACCTAATTGATAGTAAAAAATTGGTCAAAAGTTATATCGACAAAACTTCCTGCGCCCCCGAAATACAGTCCAACAAATCCCGCTTCTTCGGTGTATGGTTTCAAAAAGTTGTAGTTAACTGTCAATAAATTTAAGCGTAACTTTTCTTTAGGTAAATGTTTGATAATATTTTTGTTTTTTTTTCTGTCGAATAGCAGTTTTTCTCAAATTTATTGTTGCTAGTTCTGCTGGCACATATTCACTTGGATTTTTGTTTAAACACGCTATATTTTACAATTCAGCACTTCGAGATCTATATTTATTTAGGTATTTTTTTTAATAGATTTTTAGACCATTTTCCCAAAAGATCGATTTTTTAATGCACACCTTGTGAAAATGTTTGATCATTTTTCGACCACCTTCAAAAATTACCTAAAGACGTATTTTACAGAATTCAACCCCTGTGAGTTATTTTAGACCTACTACCATTTTTGTAGAATGACCAATGAAATACATATGTCAATTTTTATGATTAAAAAAAAAACTTGGTTTCAAACATAGTACATATTTCGAAAATTTTGTCCTGGAACAATAAATTCTTTATATTTTTCGAATTAGCACGTTGAAATCTACATCTCAGAATTTTTTGTGAAAACCTCTCTATATAAAGTTAAAAAAATAAACGAAAAATTTATATTAATGGTTTACTATGTTTTTGATTATGTTACAACATTTGCAAGAATCTAGATCACTCGATTTTGCAATTTCAAAAATCTGGATGTCTAGGCTAAAAACTTGACACGGATTCATAAACCACAAGTACAGGAGTATGTTATTTTATCAAATTTAAATAACATTTATTCGCCAAAATTTTGTGATAACGTCGTTAATTTTTTGGAAGGGGATAAATGGATAAATTTTTAACAATTTACCATCCTTCCGAAAACAGAAGACATCTGAAGGATATCAGAACATTTGGTTTCGCAGTTTTGATATTAATTTGTAAAATGTTGTTATACAATTTTTATTGTTTTTGCAAAAATCTAAATTCAACACGTATTCATAAATTACAAATGGAGGGGTATGTTAATTTTTAAAATTTAAGTTACATTTAAATAAATTAAAAAATAAATACAAAAAAACAAAAAAAAAACAAGTTCTTCGCATACTATTTCTACTCTAAAACTGTGACAACGTACCTACTAAATTTTTTAACTTCAAAATATAAAGAAGTGTCTTTGGGAATAAAAATTGACTGAAATTTGTAAAGAAGTGCTATTAAATAACGAAATTTGTGATATTTTAAAAACTGCTTATGACAAACAAATCGCAAATAAATACATAATAGAGAAAAAAATAACACTACTTGAACCGAACTTGCCCCGTTTCTCAAGTCCCACCATCAATACGTCTCAGGACGTATCCATAACTAATTCAAAAGAACAACAATAATTTATTCCAAAATTTTAGTCAATTTACGAAATGAAATTGATTACAAGCAATGCAAGACGATATGGATTTCGAAAAAATTGAATTCTATGTATATCTAGTCTGTCAAAATGCGTGCATGTTTTTGCTGAAAACTGTACATTTTTAAATTCGCCAAAAATATCACACACTCTTTTGACCTTTTGGTCCATTTCTGATCCACAAAGTTGGCAACTTACCTAGCAGGCAAAAACCGTATCTCATAATCTTTTTCACATTATAATTATACCCATATTGGTGGCAGCGATGTCATCTTTATAGTTTGAGTGGGACCACATATTTTGATGTATACCACTTAATTATTTAATGGTTCATTTAACGTTTTATGTAGATTTTTTCCTGTTTATAATTACCTTTCGCATGAATACGACCATCATTCATGTCAGCAGCACATTAATAAGAGACTTAAAGTCAAATTAAAGCAAAATAAAATACGATCGTTCCATTATTGAAGAGTAATCATAACAAATCTCGGCACTACTTTGTGAATCTACAGTTCGCGTGCCACTACTCGGAAACGGAATAGGATTAAATGATAAATGATCCATCAATTTCATTTATTGTGCGAGAGTTAATGGTACGATTTCGATGAAAATTAATGTTTTGATCAGTTTATTAACCCAGTTCACGTTTAGTCAATTACGTAGTCAGAAAAGCATTTCTTGGAAACAATTTATCTTAAACAAATAATATCATTTTTATCTAGTATAAGTAACGCCTTTAATATAGGATCAAAATTTGTTAAAAAATGGTTTTTGTACTTTATGCCACGAGTGTTAAAAATTTGCAAAAAATGAACAACAATAATAATTAGGAATTTGATTGGACTTTATGTTTGTGTTCCTTTATTTGGAGTGAGTATGAACTTAAACATATAATTTCTTGCACAGGAAATTAAAGCGTACCGAAGGATCTTTAGATACAATATCAGTTTAACAAAAGTTAAAACCTGCACATTCACCGTGCTATGATTAAATATTTTTTAATTCTCAAGGTAATCTGAAAATGGATTTAGAATTTCTATTTGGATTTTTTAGAACCAACATTGGCGGTATTTACCTAAAAGACTTTTAGAACATAATGTTCAGTACCAATTTTGAGAAATAATGTTTTAATAAGCTTATTTTCCGGGATAAATAACTTAATTTACGTGTTTAGATTAACATTAAAACTGTCGATGTCATTAAAATCTTTTAAACTTTTATTGTATCTACCGCAAAATTTGGAGCAAGAAGCTTTGTAATAATACATTTTAAAAACTATATGTAAAACTAAATTAAGATAAACATGCTATTAAAGACTAGAATGTTGATGTATAATATTTATCAAAATCAATTTATATGTACCCCTACAAGTAAAACACATTTTTTAGCATTTGTTAACAAAATAAAACTTGTTTGCGATCATAAAAAGCGTCCTCAAGTTGGCACAACGGGAACGCCAAAGGTAGCTAAAAATCCAGTGCTAACTTGTGGCCGATTTTTGTTGATCGTAAAAAAGCTTCGCAGTTACCGTCCACCCAAATTGAACCGATAAAGGAGCTTTTGTCACTCGATACATACACGTATTTTCCATTTGTCAAAAATAATTTTCCCTTCAGTGCAATAAATAACAGTTCCCTGCACATCACTCCCTCGACATCAAATGGCCATATCGCCATAATAAATAACCGGGCAGTACATAAACATGTTGACATTCAAGACCTCGACCGCATTTGTGCGAATTTCACGGCACCCTGATCAGTACAATACGTGGGGTTTGCCATGCATATTTTTCCCATGCGCAGGGTGTATAATGGACGTCATTCAAACTGACGGTAAGATTACCAGTAATCCACTTTCACGACAAACGACCGTACCCAAATGATAATCCTCCCCGGATTTCGCTAAACGAATAACATTATGGGACTGAAGTTTGATCCAAAAACGTCCGACGTAATTAGTCCAATAAGATCCTCTCGGCCAATGCATTTTCGACGTCAGATTTACAGTAACTTCGAATAAGGCGCTCTGTTATTAGACCGTGATTTGTGAGAGGTTCGATTAATTTGCCGCGCTGCTACCTGCCTCCTACTGATTCTTTTACATTGCGTTCTCTCAGGAATGCACCTTTACGAATTCTTTACAACTGCCGTTTAAATAACTTTGATTAAGTGGAGAAGTTTTGCACGGGAAAATGGTGTAACGTTGTAAAATTCGGCTTCGACAAGGGGTTTGGCATTTTGGGAGGAATTGAGATGTGTGCACAACGTCTGTAATAAATTGGTGGGCTTACAATAGCGGTGGCACGTTTGTGAGATAACATTACGGTATCTAAGACTATAACAACTATCATTACTTCTGTATTACTGTCATTTGGAATTTCCACTTTGAAGATTATTACGGCAACTCCTGTCGTATTGTTTTCGAGTCTCTATTGAATTTTGTTTGGAAGTGGAATAGTGTGTCAATAAATTTTTACGTGCTAGAGTTTTATCATTTTATAATATAATAATAATTCGTCGCTTCTTTGATTGTCTAATTTCATCGACACTTCACAGTGGTGGTTGCTGCAAATTCCTTTTATTATTTTTTTGTGAAAATCTGGATGCCTAGGAAGAAACTCAAGGCGGATTGATAGACCACAAGTACCTACAACACTTATTTTATAAAATTTAAATAATATTTATTTAACCATGATACATCGAAGTACCGTATGATCGAAAAAATTCTCTAGTAGACGAAGAAATTTATTTTTAACATAATGAAGTTGGCGACAGCAACGTTAATTAGTTAAACGTTAAATACAACGTCAACTAGCTGTAATGCCAACATC